TAATAAGGATGTTTTGATTAAATAATAACAAATGTACAAAATGAATTGTATTAGGTACAATTGAAATTTCAATTTATTCACATTCAATAGTTGATTTGAACGTAATATACACATAATATGTACATACATCGTAGCTGATTCACCTTTGTTTTTCATATTACTTACATAAAATTAAAACGCTATGCAGACAACCAATCAAATTTCTAGCTCGAACGTAGCATTTTTAATATTCACTTATAATTAAACATTTCTGTGATAGGTTTGTTTGTATATTCCACAACATATCCAGTACAAATATTTAACCACAATAATTTACCAAACAAAAGAAAACACTCATTAAAAAATACGTAAGCCGTAATCGCTACTATGAAACTTCACAAACAAACTTAATGACTAAAAATCACCCCCGGGTCCGATTTTGGACCAGGAATACGTAATTAGCTTTCATTATCATTTCACCAAGAGACCGCGTAAAAAACTACCATAATGGTAGAAAATGGTAACATTTTTATACGTTGCCATTACAATACATTTAGTTTTTTTTTTGATTAGCCCTAATTAATGTATGGACGGCTACCAAAACATAAAATTTATTTCTACTATTTTCTACCACCTAATTGTCTTATAGGTGTGACAGCCATTATTTTAATTGCGAACCGTAGCTTTAATTGTTGCTTACATTTCTTTCTATGTGCTTTTAATGACGCCCTATAATGTATTATAATTATAATGGTTTTCCTATTTTGTTTTCATAAGTCACAAACTGTTAGTTTTACTCTGGCAATCTAATATGCGTCATATATTTAAAATAATACACACTAAAATCGTTTAAACTCTACATTCTGGACAATACTTATAATAATATAGTGACAAAAAGTTTTTTTTTGTTCTGTTTCAATAAACGTGTGGATTCTCATCGATGTTCGATGAATTTATTTATAGCATCAAATATCTAAGCAATCGTTTCAAGTATTCAATAGTTTGACAAGTAATGCTTTTGATTATGATTTTTTAAAATAAGCCTCTAATAATAAAAATGCGGCGCTCATACTAATTTCAAACAGAGAGCATGTAAATGCATTTAAATCATAAATAATATTAATTTATAAGTTAAAAGAGCCTTTCATGTCGTACACAAAGACGCGTAATACTTTTGAAATGCAGTAACGCAACGAATTAGGGCGGCATTCGATACTTACTATACCTACGAGCCTACTATATTTTCATGTTTTTTTTTCTTTCTTTTTACGCTATTTTCCATGGTCCAGCCGGGCGACCCGTCCCACGGACGGTTTTCTTTTTTTGTAAATCAGTAAATTGCATATTTGAAAAACTACTGGCTCTCCCGAGGTACGTCGATTGAACGAGGGGTGTGGTCATCGGCTTGCTTTTATTCGTACTCCCAATTTATTTTAAGGAAAACCTTTATGAATTATGTTCTAGACAGGAACAACATTATTGAAGCGTAGCATCACTTAATCATATGAAAATTATGGATTTCCTAAAATAAATATATACAACTCGAAACTAACCAATACTTAATAATAATTTGATCATCATGTGTTAACTTGGTTATAGAAAATAAGATATAAAGAAGAACTTAAAATAGAATCATAAAAATCAGTATCACTTGAAAGTAAAAACTGTTATTTTTCTTAAATTTTCCACTAAAATATAAGCGCTTTGGTACAGGCGAAAGCTGAAAGGGTTTGCCAGTAAGGGTAGTGGGATTAAACGATTCGCAACGAAAATGTTTTTATTTTACGCCGATGCCTGTTACAAAACTAGGATGAAGGATGGAAGGAGATGTGGCATTTTAAATAAAAATATTTAAATGCTTTTATATCACGACTTCAATAACTTCAACTAGCCTTTGCTTTATGCTTAGAATACTTCAACTAATGTTGTTCATAATCTAATTACTATCAATTCTCATCTGATTCGATGGTTAAAGTTTGAAAAACAATGAGTTTAAAAAATAAGCACCACTGCAAAATCAATTGATTCGATGAAAGTAATTATCAATAATTACACGCCCTAAATAGAATTTAACAATGGAATTATAGAAAAAAATGAATTCAGCACTCGAACGTTTAAACGTTAGATTGAACAGTGGAGTGCTCACGCGCTGTAGGGGTCTCATTGGATGATTACGAGTTTGAATACCGCGCACACGACACAATAAAAACATTTGTTGGGAACGACCAAAGAGTTCGCATATTATATGCTTATCATCCCACTTTACTCTTTACTTTGATTTTTTTCCTCAAAACTTCTTTTACCTACACATGAATAATGTCTACGCGTGGTATAAAAAGCGGAGGTATATAAGTCTAACATAGATACAAGAAACAAGATATACTCATCAACTAACCTTGTTACAAAACGATAAATGAAACGTAATTGGAAGGAAATTACGCAATAAATGGGAGGTTTATTATTGAATTTAATGTCAAATTAATCGCAGGCCCCCTCTAACATCTGTCGATTCGGGGCCCCCCATCAATACCTTACAAAGAATTGTTCTGTTTGCTGTTTAAGTGCTTTTATTGATAATTTTATTGGAAAGAACTGTACCAATTGTTCATTGGATATTTTCCATCCAAGTATATTTTTGTGTGTATTTATTTGTTTACGTTAAATTACCTCGACATTTTATTAAATTAATAAATAATATTAATACAACAATACAATTAGGCTTCATTGCGAAGGATTACATTATTCTGATTTATAGTTCAAAATGAAAACACACGAAAACAAACCGGTAACATCAAAAAAAAATATATATTTTTAAATTCAACTTTACCCTCTTGTAATTTTGCTCTTCCTCTAATTATAGGAAATTTTTATTGCATCGGACACTTGAGAGCGATGGATCGTTGAGCCACTAAAAACCTCAATCAGTCGCTGAGAGCATCATTAACATCCTAGTTTCGGTAGCCAATGAACGGGCGGGCTGAAGAAACTTAATCAATTTGGTCGGCAACGAAACAAGCCTGTATTAACCCCCTCATTCGTATGAATATATGTGTGTTCAATTAATTTTTCTCGCCCGACCCGTGGGCCCGTACACGTTACCAGTCGCCGCGACACCCGAGCGCGCCTCTGCATAATACATCGCAGTACTCTACTCTACTGTGTTACTGTACGTCGGACTTTAATTATATATCTGCTACAATTTCGCCTTTTTTCGAGTATTTTTCACAATTCCTCTCCCCAACACCCTCTCGCTCACCCTCCCGAACAGCCACAAAAAAAAACCGCTTTTTGCGTGTGTGTATTCGATCGCACTCTGGCGCCCGGCAATCATTACACGGTGAACGCGCGCCCCACAAGCCCGCGAGCCCGCGAGCCTTGGAGCCCGCGAGACGGTCATCTTGAAGGATGACGAGTCGGGACGATTAACTCTGATAACGAACTAAGGAGACGCCCTGCAAAAATACACCTAGACATTTTAATGCAATTAAGCTCGTAGAAAACGACTGCGAGAGTCCGATAAGCCCCGCTCAACTTTTCCTGTAACAGGCTGTTATTTCACGATTTAAAATCGGTTCTCAACCCGTTAATGACGCGAGTACAAGTGCAGATCGGCGGCTCCGTTCGGCCGCGGACCAATCTATTTAATAACCCCCGCCGGTGACACCCCGCCCGGCGGCCATCGCCAATTTTAACCCCCCACGTACCCCCTAGCACCCGCCCTGAAAAAAATCCGGAGCGTTTTAAAATTAATGAGTAAAAATCTACACACACACCCGCGCGGACAAGTATGCGTGTGTGCTCGCCCAATAATACCCACTTTGTGGACCAAATGATGACGTGTAACAGTGTCCGCGGGAGACGACGGCTGGCGGCGGCTAGCGAGCCGCTCACACGGAATCCGTGATCGCCTAGACTTTTCCATTAGGACCAACTATCCGAGAAAAAATGGAGTACAAATTGAAAATTCGTCGGATCGGACGCGCTAATTCCGAGCGAAGCGGCGCCGCGCGCGAGTCAAACGCAGTTAGATAACATTTGTAGAGGCGAGGGGAGAGCGGGGTGTCGCCCCTACGCAACACCGTTTTTATTTTGGCCGGCCTTTGCCCCCACACCCCCTTCGTTCGTCCAACTTCATCTGAATAATTACTGATTTTTTCGTGTACCGCTGATTATTTCGAATGTTATTTGCTGGTGATAATTTTTCCCCCGCTCCATTTGTCCGTTTTGGTTAGCTCGGCCCGAAATTCTCTTTGTACATAAATTTTGTATCGCACGGTGAACACTCATTTAAGTATCTGTTGCACTCTATTTAAACTTCATTGGAATGCTTTTCCCTTTTCTAAAAAAGTAATGTAACGAGGCTAAACTTCTTTTGTTTGTATGCGAACAAAACAGAGACAATGTATACGTTAGGCTCGTTTAAAGAAACGTAAAAGTTAAATGATAATATAATAGTTTAAGAGGTATATGATAATCCTTTAAAATAAGCGGATAAATTCAATTTCGAGATATACTTTTTTATTTTTCAAACCCGCAGTTTTCCCTTTCAACACTCTGCATATTTTAGTTTGAAAGACTTAAATACCGCTCACTTAAACACGCCACTTAAGTGATATTTAAATAAACAACTAGAGGTAAACTAACTTATCAAATTTTTAATAAAACTACAAGACTTGATTATAATAGTATTATATTAGATATAAAACTTGAAACACAAGAAAAGCTAACGATATTAAATAAGTTAAAATTAATTGTAGTCCAAATAACAATTTAAATATTTATTTTTCAATAAGTTAATATGTACTAATATAAAATTAAATCGACGCTTGTGCCAAACTAGTTATTAAACTCAGATGAAACTATAAGTTTTAATTCATAAAAATGACAACTATAAATAGCGCTATAATAACACGTACACATAAATATGATATATAAAATTCTTAATAATTCAAAGGACAGTCTGTACAAGGCGACGTCTAATTGGATGTAATTAAAAACACTAATCGAAATCTCTAATTATTATGCTTATTCGACAAGTGACAAGGCCGATGGCGATCGCTTTGGCAAGGATTTCGGAGGGCCCGCCCGCCACCCCGCGGGGACAGGGGCCGCTTTTTTTTCCAGCCACCACCGAAGGGGTTGATTTTTTAAACTGATGACGCGCTTTCATTCTGCGCCGTGCAACTTGCCGCGCGGCTGTATGTGTGCCGCTCGTTGATAAATAAATAGGAAAAAAAATAAATATATATATATATGTGTGCACGCTTTGTCGATAGTGTCCGTTTTCTTTTTTCGCCGCAGTATCTCTAGTCTATGGTTCCGTTCAAACCGGCCTCGAAAGCAACTTTTAATGAACAATACAACTTTTTGCGCGAAATAAATGTGTTAGAATATAATACAGTGAACGTCGAGTGTGAAGTATCGCATGATAATATTGTATTATGCATTAATGTTTTTTAATATTATAATATTTTTTAATGTACATGTAATTTGATATTCGATTAATATAACAATTTTAATAGTTTTATTGTATTCGTGATATCGAAGTCGGAAGTTAAGAAAAGTTCTAACAAGTTTAGATCGTGGGATATTGAACACTAAGAAGAATGGTATCAATGGAATAGTGTACATATTAAAATAACACACGGAATAAAATAGAAAAAATCTTCAGGTATTAGGAGAATGACATTGTCGTTTGTAAGTATTAAATTAAATCATTTATATATAATATATAATGTATATAAAATGTTCATTTACATTAATAAATAATTGTTTATTTATAAACACATTTTAATCTAAAATAACGACTCGACAAACATAAATTATTGTTAAGAACGTATTGTTTAACCTTAATTATAACCATTATACTTGTTCTTTGTACGATAAATAATTATGCATAATAAATGTAATCAACAATATCCTTATTTAATTTATCAAGGTCGATATTTAATTACCTTTCAATAATTCATAGCGATTATATATATTTATAATTATTATAAAGAAAAATATAATTGTTTATATTATAAGAGCTTCGACCGCTGAGAGCTATGTGAAGTTTTTTAAAAAAATCTTATCTAGATTCTAGATATCAAATTAAGAAATGTACATTTAAAATAAATTTCAAATTAAAAAGAATATGAATCTTATGGAAAAATTTGAAGAAGTTGACTTCAAAAGAAACAAAATTGTAAAAAAAATATATTTTGCACAACATATATGTATATACATCTTATTTCTGTATTGTATTTTTTTTATCTCCTTGAGTTAAATTAATAAATTGTTTTTAATGACTGCTATAATTACAAGAACCGTCATTTCATATAATGTATTAATTATGTTTTAATTCAATTAAAAGTACATAACTAAAACTTTAATATAATAAAAAAATCTACTTAGTTTAATTAACGGTTAGAATAACTATAAAAATATTTTATTTTAATGTGTTAATGACAACTAAACTATATTAACTTTTGATTTTTACAAAATATGTAGGGAATTTAAAAAATAAATAAATGAAAATACAAAAACACAAAAAATAAATAAATACAAATACACATAATATTCACTAAGTAATGAAACAAGTCATAACCGACGCTTTTATACATAAACACACGACTTATGATAATAATTACAAAAGCGGAATATAATATTGTATTTATTTTATATTCCTTAATTTTGTGTTTGTAAAACACAACCTAATCTTAAAACAAATACAAAAAAAAAAAAACCTTAAATGCTGTCATTAAATTGAAAATGTAGAGTATTAAAAAATAAAACATATATTTTTTTAACTAAACAAATTTTGGATACGCGTTAAAACAGAAAATTTTCGAAATATCGCGTGAAAATATATAGAACTAGAAATAAAGTTAAATTGTTTTTTTATCTAAATAAATGAAGGAAAATCGTAAACAAAACAAATAATTCTCCGAATACCTACGATGGTGTCATTAAAAAAAATAGTGAATGCATGTACGATGTACATTTTAATTAGTTTGTCTAGACCGAACTATGTATAATTATAACAAGTTATTTCGTCTTTAATTAACTTTTTAAAGATTAGTTTACAAAAATATATTTAAAAAAATTGATAACCTTTATCAATTTATAATTAGAAATTGATTTAATTATGATTAAGTCATTTATCATAAATATGTATTTAATTATGAATATAGGAAAAACCCGAATGCGTTTTAAACTAAACAGATATTTGGTAATAAGATGACATAGAATTAGCGATTGAGTCAAGCAAACAGTAAATACAGTGTGCATACTATTTTTATTTATAAAATATATCACATTTATATTTATTATTATTATAATATTTTGGGTTCATATTTTGAATCTATCCAATTATTCAACTATTATTATTTACTTAAACAATAACTATAAAAAAATATGTTAGATTTTTAAACTGTAATATTTTTAAATTTCAAGTCTATTACTTTGTTGAAAATTTTGTCATTTTTTAAGATAACTAACTTATTGAATAAGTGCAGGTATATTAGAGAATTAAAAGAACAACCATAAAGACATAAAGACATACTTGAAATGAAGCTTTTTCTCGAAAAGGCGTGAATTAGGAATCAAATAAATTTATTTTATCAAAATTGTACTAACACAAATACCTTCAATAATTGTCATTAAGAATAATACTATTTAATCATATAATAAAAGTGTTTTTAAAAACATTTTTACAAAAAGAGTTAACTGTGAGGAATAAAATGATAAGTAAATTCTATAAAAACCGCGGCTGTATAACATAATTACTTCGATGTCATATTTATTCCACTTCCATCCACCCTTTCAAATTGTATAAACTATATTTACGGCTATAAAATCTACGAACCACGGTATCATGATTAATGATTTAATCTACTACGATCTAATAAAAAGTTGTAAGTAATATAATAAATACACATGACAAATATTGTTGGAATTTCATATAAGTTTCTTGGGATAAGACAAAACCTCATATAAAAAAATTCTTTAGAACATTTCTGTTAACAAATATTGTGTCTGTTTAGCAATTGCACTTTATTTTATATATCTGGTACTTGGAATAAAAACCGATCTTTACATATTTATGTCACGACATATACTAGTATATGTAAATTAACAGTTTTACTGTCTGTAATCGTTATTGAGAAAAACAATACATATTTTCAAAGTTCCCGTTTAATTTAACTTATTAAATAAATAAAGTATGTAACGAACACATCAATCGAGATTTCTAAAAATATTCGATTAATTTATAAATCCAGTAATTTTACTGTTGGTAGATTTATTAAGCTATTTTAATATTTGTATAAATTTATTATATACATAAGTTTATTTCTATAAAAAAAATCTTTTACTCTTGGATATTTATTTATCAATAATGGTTCGATGTAACAGGTGTAACTTTAAGAACGTTCACGAAATCTTAGACGAGGACTGTATTTAGATATGAGTATCATTATAAATGACATTGTATTAGCCAATAGTAAAGTAGTCAAAGTGTATTCTACAATATATTAATATCATGTGATGTCTCCAGCAAGCGGAGTCAGACCGTGAGAGCGGCGCTAGTTCGCCGGAGGGTGCGCGGGCGCACGCCGACCAGCGCTCGCCGTCCCCGCGCTCGAGAACGCCGCACCAGCACATGAATGGCTCCAGTGAGTTCGTAACACCGTTTATATTTTCATATACCTAGTCATACATCACAAAATATCCAAATTGACTGTGATAACATAACATGACAATATCTTGTTCATTGAAACATAGAACGTCAATCAAATCAAGCGTACGTCTTTATTGTTCCTCCCACCCACAGTGGCATCGATGTTCCAAAATCTTCAAAACCTGGCGAACATGCAGCAGAGCATGCCGCTGTCGCAGCAACAAATGTCGCAACAAATGTCACAACAAATGTCGCAGCTGGCTGCCAACCTGCAGGGTCTCACCTCAATGCCATCAAACCCCGTCATCAATTCGCCTCTCAACCTGAGTGTCAGTGCCCCAGGTGAGAAAACTATGACATAAATGTATGATAACTAATAATTGAGTTACAATATTCTCCTTATAGGTCCATAGCATCATTTCAGTAATAAACGTAACATTACAACAATACACAGTTCTAAAATTTCAGTTAAAAATTCATCACGAATATTGTCCTTTACCAGAAAGTAAGATAGAATCAAACAGACATGGCTTATGCATTAAATCTTTTAGTCGAAAATCAAGTCCATAATTAGGTGATTACCGAAACCAATCGATTAATGAAAGGCAGATAGCGGCATCTCTGCCCGCCCATTAGATCAGAGCCGCAACAAAAAAGAAAACCTATTTAAATAATGAGAATAATTACATATTTTTTCACCAACTCACGGATATTACGACTGTTGCGGTATCATTAACAGTTTTATTGTCTTAATAGACCTAATTATACATTTTTTTCGGCTCTTAATTGATGCGGTGTAGGAGAGAGCATTTATTACAAAATGTTGAATGTCATGCTTTAAATGAATACGTTGTGTTAATGTTGAATTTAACGGCCCTGTGAGGTATGCAGACAATGTTTTAGATTCTGTTAGATCGTTTTGTACGCGGTAAATTAGTCTTGCTCGGTTGCCGATAGACTTTATGTAATTTTCTATCGTCTGCCGTCTATGGACAGACGGCGGCTTTTTTAACAACTATATCATTTTATTGTTTATAATTATATATAGAAAGTATCGCGTTTAAATTACCTCTGTTCCAACGGCAAGAGAATATCCGTGACGGATAGTATGTACCAAAGCAAATAAATAATGAGGATTATCAAGGCAATTAAAAAATACTTTTCAAAACGTTTACCTAACACACAACATTACACTTAAATATAAGTATTCTTATATAAACACATTGAGATATTCGTGTAACTATTACATAATGCTTGTAAAATTTACCTCTAGTACATTAGTATATAATTCCATGGACATATTTAATTTATTCCTTACCCTTACTTAGACTACTTACAATCAACAAGCATCGCCCTTACTTCTCCAAGCATTATGAAAGATCTCTTAGACAATCTTGACTCTCCCTTATTTAAGCAGTCCTCTCATATTATTGAATAGGAATATTGACTAAAGATGTACACGGTAACAAAGATAATACAGGATAATTTGTATTATTAAATATAATATCAAAGTTTTCATTTATTATTTCAAGTCTTTTTTTTCTCAATTACAAATGAATTTTATATTCCCAACTATTAATTAACGTAAAGACGCTTCGATAAAACTTTATCTATATTTCATTAAATGTTAAAAGTAATAATTATTATCAGACAACAGTTTCAAAATTTTATTATTAAATTTTGATTATTATTATTAATAGTGACGATAGTTTAACATTCAATGTACTGTAAATGATAAAAATTGAGATAGAAGTTCTAAAGAAATGGGTAATTTGCTGTTATAAAACCAATAATCGTGAGGTTTTCTAATAGGCATGGGATCTCCAACCCCAGTTAACAGCAGTATGCTGCCGCCGGCTATGCCTTCACCTATGCCGCAGCTCATCCTAGCTTCAGGACAACTTGTACAGGGCATACAGGGGGCACAACTGCTGATACCTACCTCTCAAGGTATGTATTACCGATATTACGCCACATACCATATAACCAAACCAAGTTTACCTTTTTCATTATTGGAAATATTCCATTTTGCTGATTATTATCAATTGTTCTAAATTTTCCCAATATGTTTTTTTGTAAGGGGAAAATGATTTGAATACAAGACTAGAAGCGACGATCCAATAGACATTCTATAACGAGCCGACATAAAATAAGTTGACCGTCAATTTGTAGAATAAACAGAAAACATTTTGCTTCATACAAAAACATAAGAAGAACAACGGATAAAAAGACTTGGTTTTCATGTTGTTTATAATGAGTTTGAAACCAACATTGACCATGAAAAATATTTTCTTACGCCCGTGCTATACTGATCGGCCATTACAAAAGTTTACATACATAAGATTATACTATCGTGTCACCAATGAAGTTGTAGGCTAGAATCCCGAAGGGTTTTTAAAGGATATATATTTCTTTAAATGTTGTCTAATATTAAGTGTAAGCACTTTTGCTTGGTCCTTGAATATGTTGATTATTGATTGAATCATCACTTTATAATATTAGTTTTTCGTTGTGTTCTATTTGATAACAAATCATGAAATTCCTCTCAATACAGGTATCGCGACACAAACAATCCTCACCATACCCGTAAATCATGTGAACTCCAACGATCAAATGGTGAATCTCGCCCTGAACAATGGACAAGTGGTGTCCACATCTCTGGCCAATCTCCAAGCGATGGCCCAACCCCACCAACTACTGAACTCCAACCCGCAACAATCGTCCAACATTCGGCCCAATATGCTAAACCCAACACTATCGAACGCGCTCCTCAATCCAGGACTGCCAAACTTTTTATCCAACGGAGCGACAAATGCCCAAGAACTGCTACAAGCATTACAACAGCCGCAAGGGAATCACAATCTTCTACAGACAGTTCAACAAAACAATATGCCACAACAAATGCAAGGCCGAAGATCGTCCTCCCCACGACCTGACAGACATTACAAGGAGAGGGAAAACTTCGAGCGGTTCGCAGGAGGTTCCAGGGAAAGGAACGAAAGAGAAAACTCGGGAGCGGCAGCCCTGAATAGTATTAATAGGTAAGCCATTCAATAAGAAACACATCATACACAACCTTCGCGAGACGCTTTAATTAATCGCACCATTTATTTTATCATAAGAAATAACTTTTAATTGTTTTATAGCTACACTTTGCATTATTGAATTAAAAATTACTTAGCACATTGTAAAGTGAAAATAACAAAGCGATGTCCATTAATTAAGAAAAAAACACAATCTCATACTGATCGCGAGCTAATGATAATTCATTTTATACAATGATCATAAAAACATTACATAATACCACTCGATGATTACGATAAGTTCGGAAAATAATACCCATCTTTAATATAATAATTAATAATTTGATTGACAAATAATGATTATTAATAATGACACAATTCCGAACCCTTCTCCCCGTGACGAATGTAACTAACTACGTGACAATGACTGTAATTACGTACATCTGCCGTAATCAAGGATTGTTTTAGAATTTAGATTCCAAACGCAATGCAATTTGAAAGTCTGCCTATATCTTATATCTAAGCAGCTGTCATAGAATAAATTGCAAATCGATAATTGATTTAATCAACTGTAATATCTCAACTACAAGACAATAATACTATAAAGATTTTTGTAACATAGTATAAAAATATAGCTTAGTTGTTTTATAATAGCTCGCTATAAATAATGTACATTCTAAAGTATAACAATCATTTCATTTCGTTGAGTTTTGAGTGATAAATGAACATGCAATATTAGCATTTTAATTCATTTGAAATAAGCGATGCTATCGCTGAATAACGTCCCCAGCTTATTACAAGTCATTACAGGAATGTAATTAAATTGTATTCTAATGATAATGTATTTTTTTCATTCACTGATATTAAATATTTATTCAACTTATTATATACATATACTTTCAAATCTAGGTATATTTATATAATTATTACGTAATATATAATGTAATATTCGTATAAACTTATAATACTAAATAAGGAAAACAATTATCTTATAGTATTTTATACCTTAATGAGTAATTTAATGCTAATTACAGGCAGGATGTTAAATAACTTGTGATATAATTACATAAATGACGTTCTATTCAAGTACCTTACGGATAATTTTCTGGTGTTGGCAGCGCGGAAAATATTAAATACATTGTGACATGACCATTGATATTTGATCCATAGAATTTGTGCTCAAAAATAACATGAATTTTATTATACATATATAAACTATTTGTTTGGTCAAGTTGATATCCTGGAATTATTGTTCCGGGATATTGTAACATGACCACAGCCCCTTTGTAGCTGACCTACTGAAATTAATGAAATCACTATGTAACTTAGAATTATTATAATCTTTTCCTTGTTTGATATAAAATGTAATTGTCAAATAATCCATTATCATTAGGAGCTGATAATGTTATAAGACAAAACATTATATTAATATAAGCCAACCAACTGTTTTCCTTAATGAAAGAAACTATATATAGAAATTTATAATCATATATAATACGATCAACTCTATTGAAAACCCAAAAACCTTCACTAATCTCATTCATCGAAAACAATCTAAGAAAAAAACCCAATAAAATGATATAATTGGTATCATAACAACTTATCAATGACGAACGTAATATCTTGATACAGAGTGTTTAATAATTAACATAATTCCTACCTAATTAAAGTACCCATGACATCTATGCGAGTAACATTGATGTATAGTTCCTACGCGGTTATTAGACTTCATCGAAGGCTGTATCCAGAGACCATATACTGATCGATTAAAAACTTTTAATGAATTGATTTTACTTTATATTATACGGATATAAATTAATGGATGCCTATTTGTGTTTAACGAAACTTTACTTTTATGTTTTTTCCAATAAACTTTATACTTTTACATCATGACAATACGTATATTAAAATTACAAGCAAAGTCCCAGTGCACGCTAGTATATTATAGTGTTTAAGATAATGTTTTTGGCTTTCCTTAATTAAATAGCAAGAGATTATTTGGAAAGCATTGCTTTAAATTTAAACGAGTTATTCTAATAAAGTGTTCATATAAATCATATTAAAATATTGTAGAGGTTAACGTGGACTTAAGATTTAATAATAGTGTTACTTATATAATTTAGATTTTGTAATATATTTGCATTTTAAGCACGCAATGGTCGCTAATAGGAAATGAAATGAATGTGGTTTTCAAACTAACATTTAGAAATAAGTGATTCAATATATAATATACATCTTTCCACATTCAATATAATTTCTATCTGAAATTACTATTTACAAGAAATGCTGAAATGTTTTTTTTAATAACCTCTAAATAACATATTGACAAATGCTACTATGTAGGTACTATAAGAAATTAATAAGTTTGTTGCCATGGAGGAGTAAGGAAAACTGAATATTAAAGGAATGGTATAAAGGTCATACCCGTGGTATGGAACTAGCCTCTGTAAGGCATATGATAAATATATTTAAGACATGAACGTTGCGTTCGAAAGGCAAAAGTCAGTGGTGTGGATTCTCCATCTTGTTTCTTTTCCATGCCATTAATATAATACAATGGCATTATTAAATATTCTAAGATTTTAGTTTTCGATTGTACCATGCATCCATTAAGTGAATATATATGTGTGCGTACTTCAAAGACATTAAGTTAATGCGACCTCATAATTACTGGCTGGAAGCATTAATTCTCGCATCCATAATTAAGTTTAATACCTCATTTCTGTTGGCCTACAATCTAGATAAATATTGTATGTCATTTGACGTCTATTAAAGCTACATTAAAATGTTGAATCATTGTGAAATACTGGCGTAACAAAAAGTTATTTTTTTAAGATCATAATTTAACAACGACAAGGCCGAATTTGAATAAGAATTGTGGACACACGGATCACGGTTCTGTTTCCAAACGCCTTAAAAATATACATAATATTATAAGTTATAGTTTCAACCTCATTCTATAATGATTTATATATATTAGTATAATTATATATGTAACGATTATAGTTTGCACATTGTTCAGAGACACGATATAGAGGAAAAATTATAATGCGCATTTTAAATGTGAAACATATAGCTAATAACTAATAATGTACAGTAATTTAAGTAATAATATTATAAACATGGAATTCTTTAACATCTGTCTTTATTTCTATGAAAATATATGATGAATAACACATAATTATTAATTTTATATAGAGCGGTCAGTACACAAATTACAGTACGTGTTTCCCACCTCATCACGTATTCAAATCAAAATGCTCTACAACGTGTGAAATAAACGGAAAATGTTAATTATTATTAAGTTTATTATAAGCAAGAAAAACAAAACTATCACGTCATGTTTCTTAAATGTTTATTAGTTTAAACTGACATTGGAACTTAAGGCACACTACATAAGAACAAATAAAACGGTCGAATTAATGACTCAAGTATGTAGTTGGTAGTTGTAATAATTTTTTATAATGTAATATTATATCTATAATACAACATTTGCTTTGTTGTTTGAACATTATTTATATATATATATATATATATATACATAGTGTTATATTTTTTAGCCACTCGATATAGCAACGTCTAAGTGTTGCCAATTTCTGATTCGTCATAGCATTAAAATTGTTAATTTTAATTACTAATAATCTTAGTTTAATAAATTTCGATCGGATACGGATATTCTCAATAATGTTACGTGATTCGCGAACATTTCGTGAGAATGTTTTTATGCTGTCTGTATTTTAAGATGTCATTTATATTTTTTACGCCGAGTTCATTGACCTTATCTATAATATATAAATCGATGACCGAAGCTAATTCTTGATTAACATAATATGTAATTATTACTTGTAATGTACATTATAATTAATAATAATATATTTTTTTCCTTCTATACACGTCCATATAATAATTACGGGCGTCCAATAAACTTTTACAAGAAGTCATAAATAACTCGGAGATGATAATTAGGTTATACATCCCCCGTTATTATAATACAAAATTATTATTTTAATAAAGTTCCTCTCGTCTTACAGAATGAATTTAAATTATTCATATTACTAGAAGATCGTTTTACGCTTTTTATTATTTTGTATAGCGATGTATATAAATCATATAAAGAAAAATCCGTAAATTTGAATACATAGAATGTTGATATTAATTTAGTGCATTAAAATCTATATATTCAATCCTTACATATATTGTACCTTAAACAAAGTAATTTTTTTTACTATTTCCTTAAACAAAAATATTTTTATATCACTTTCACCCTCGTCTAACAAACAAGTAGTTAGGAAAAGTATAAACACATACATATACACATAGCACGCACACAAACACACACACACAAGCACGCACTCAAGCACGCGCGCACACACACACAAACACACACACACAAACACACACACACACACACACATATATATAATTTAATAAGATAAAACTGTTACAAAAAAGTCGTTATTTAATCGCAATGTGTAAGCAGCCTTAAGGATCTTACGAAACAAGATGTCGAAAAATAAAATGTATTAAATCACTCGTTTATTCATAAAGTTAATTATTAGTCTTAATACACTTTCGAAATTATAAATTTATATTACTCAAAAACGACAACTTTTTTTAAGTATTAAATATATTGCTACCCTGATAAATATATAGTAATGTGTTAGTTAAAAGATGGTAGTACTTAGTACTTGTAGCTACAAAACTATATGCAAAATAAAAGGTCATATTATAGAGAACAGTCGTAAACCTTTTTAAAATAATTATCTTGAAAAGGCATAGTTTGGGCGTCGAGTAACGTGTTGATTAATTGAAGGAACAATTAATGTTGTGTGTGTGTGTGTGTGTGTTTGTTTGTGTGTGTGTGAGTATGTATGTGTGTGTGTGTGTGTGTGTGTGTGTACTTATACTTTATTACTCGCTTGTATTGTATTCTGCAACTTCGTTCACTTAATATGTATGCACGGTTCACTAATTTCTGTCTTGTACAGTATCCATTATGCGAAAAAAAATAATTGTAGCAATACTTTTTATTACATTTACGTACTATGAAGGTTTTATTTATGTCAAAGTAACGTAGTTGTTGGCGGCTTTGTTGACTATTTTTAAACCTAAAGTTTAATACCTAAGTGTGTCGGTTCTGAATCATCTGTCTTTTACATTATACATAAAAATTATATTTAATCGCGCAATAATTTAAGTATCCGATAAACTTTTAAGAATGTTTCTTAATTATTTATCAAAATATGGTACATAGGTCGCGTAAATAATGTTTTAAACATTGTTCATATTAAATAAAGATATTGAGTAAACGGCTTTAGATTTGTAAAACAATATAATTACATTCAATCAAATACAATAAAAAATATATACAATACACACTCAAACAAGCTCTTATAAAACCTAGTAGATTCTTGCAACCATACAACAAATGAGTCCCTAATTAGCCAGCAATTACCACTAATGCAACAGCACACTTAATGAAGCGCGCACCTCATTTATACGCCGCGGAACCACTTGCAACGATGCATTGTGTCGGCGACAACGAGACGTTTATAAGTCGTGACATCATATCATACATTTACATAACTAGACATTTACAAATTATTATATTTATACTAAAGTACGCGACAAACAATCAAAAATTCTTATACTTAAAATTATATTAAAGGAGAGAAAAAATTACAACGTAAAAACCATTCAAATTAAGCATATAGTAATAAAGTAGTCACTGTGTAAGTGTGTAATAGCACATAATTTCACTTCATGAATATATATTGCAATATCTATTATAATTTACACAATATAAAATGTTATTCGCCGATCAAAATATGTCCAACATCTGCCTAACATATATTTTCCACATAAATGAAAGACATAATTTCTTACAATCATTGTAACACAATAGAAACTAATGGCTGTGACCTTAAGAATAAATTGTAATTAGTTTAACATGACTGCAATTAATAATTTTGATTTATAGTTGCAATAGAGTTGTCATCGTATTAATGCATCATTTTTATATGAAAGCAACAAAGACGCCGTTCTGTTTAAGTTTTTGGCTTCAAGAAACGTTTATAAGAACTTAATCATTGATTACTATAATCTTACTTCTGTTTTTCTATACATGGATGGCTATATAAAGGATTGTATTTATGTGTAGGCTCGCAGCATCCAACGGCGAGATCACCATAACAACGTCCCATTCGACAGCGGGTACAACAAGCAGCGCGGGTAGTGTTGGCAGTGCGCCTACAGCATCACCTCACGCTCCAGTCAAGCTCTCACCAAGCTCTGTGAAGTCACCAGCACATGATGAGGACCTGTTGGCTGATTCACCTAGTAAGTTCTGATTATAAGCATATTAAATTGATCTATGATGACGTCACACAAACAAATGGAAATTCTGAAGATAGTTGGAAAAATATTGAGTGATATGTTATTAACTATTGGTTCTAAGAGCTCTATTGATAAGAGAAATTTGGTGATACAAAAGAAAACGTATTTTTTGATATTCATTAACAAAAAGAGACTATTACAGCTCTTCTTTAAAATAGTTTTATATTATTAATATAAGTCCATATAAATCTTTATCCAATAAGGGTTTTTTACGTACAATACATTATACTGAAATCTTATCAAATTATCAACTAAGCTATCTCTTTATTTACTCACTCCTTTGTGGGATTGAAATGTAGATATATTTTATGTTATGCCTGATTTAATCACCGTCAATGTTTTGTAAGAAAACTGGACTAACTTCCAATGATAGGAGATTTGTAGGATACAATCATTTCAATGACCAAACGCCGAATCCATTAATTCTACATTCTTCATCTACAGTAAAGACTATTTGTATTTTTATCAAACTATTTGATATAAAACGTAATTCAATATTATAAAACAAATTTAAACTGAAGTATATTCTATTTTGGACTTCTGTAACAGTATTGTATTCATCTATAAAAGTTATCCATTCTAAGTAGGCGATCCATTAGCCGTCGCAAAGTCCAACAATGTCGTACAGTTATTTCAACTAATACTATAAAGAGTTGGAAAGTCGGATGGTCTATTTAGGAGTTGCCGACAGACTGCAAAGTCGATTAGGCATTGTTCAGACTAAGTTCTTAAGCACATACCTGATGTAATGAGATATACGAATGTGGACGGTGTTTTGTTGATGAACCTACTAAAGTGCAGAGCTGTTCATACATACATACATGTATAATTTTGTATGGAATACTTTGTCTGAGTATTAATTTTTCTATCGGCTGAAATTTTAAATTACGAATTTGTATCTCATAATATATCTACTTCTACCTGGCAATTTCCCAGCTATAGCTTACATATTGTGGTTAGTTTTGACTATTTCTTTTTTTACGACCGGTCGCTTGCCTGACATCAACCCTCTTTTGGGAATGCATTAATCAGCGATGTCTAAATACTCTTAGAAAATACATATGACTTGGAAAAATCACATTGGTACTTGCCCGGGCCAGATTCGAACCCGCGCCCTCGTACATGAGAGGCAAGCCTTTTAACCACTAGGCCACCACTAACTCTGTATCTCATAATATATGGCCATTATTAATATTTGAAAATCATTTTAAAGATTTAGTTACTCAAATTCTTGTTGCCATAAACATATTTATTATGTTATATTTGAAAATGAGTTATTCTTATTGGCCCATATAGTTTAATTTTAGACTGAGTAAGCCAAAGAACGTGGGGACCTACTAACCCGGGTAGTCTAGACTTTTATTTCTGTATTACTAAACGATATGAGCTAATTTGTTATTCTAGATCTTAAGAGCGGACTGCTTTCTCACTTGGTATAGGCTTAGACCCAATTATAGACCTGAAGAAATTAAAATGGGCAGAACATTAAAAACCTCTTAGCTACCTACATCTGACTTAGTTTAAAGCATGTATAAAAGTTGTATAAAAATTTAGATGATAAAAATAACATTTAATGTAAATAAACGAAGGACATAAATTAGTTGCAGCTTCGATATCTGGCTCTGAATACTAAGATTTGGAGTTTAAAATCAGAATGAAGGGTCGCCTTAATGAAATTGGTAAAATATTAGCAATATTTTAGCGCTCATAACATTCGTTAGCTTCTTCAAATGAACATGAGTATATACACAGATTACTTCTAAGATCTTAGAGGTATATCGCCGTTTTCTTAGCGTTTTTTTTAAAGCATTTCGTTCATACTTTCTCATAACACTGCTATATTTGATTGTCATTATGTGTAAAGTTTTGTATAAATGCGTAACATTAATGTGCTCACGGGCCACGGGGTGTGATCTGACCTAGTGAGTTAATTGTTGAATTATGAGATCATCGATATCATTGCTAACTCGACTGCAAATTGATTGATAGTGAACCCTCGGTTATTAGAAAATATTAAAGACTCACAGATTTGGTATAAATATCACGATGATTAGTTAAGATTTAGATTGTTAAACTTTGAACTGTTGAAAGCTTATACATTAAAAACAAAGAGAATCAATTAACTGAGTTTATATTACAGAATAATGGTTTTTATATTATACGATCAAAATATGAATTTGAATATGACTTTGAAAATTAAAGACGACATATAGCATATGTATCTATCTAATGTATTATTCGGCAATTTTTTTTTAATAATTTGCTTTCAATACCTATTCAATGTAGGCATAAATTTTATGTGTTTGTATAATGCCAGGGTATTATAGTATGGTTATAGTTTCTATATAAATTATTATCTGTTTCAATGTAAATGAATTGACTGTATCACGACATGTCTTATCGGAATCTTATCGTTCCCGTCTCGTTGTCAACAAACGTCTATACCCGGGGCCCCAGTTCTATAGATTACTATTTAATTCGTAGTTAGTGGATACAATTACTAAATTACTCAGTTCCTCTGTTTACTGCTCGTTCTAATTTATCTATATTAAATCGATAGGGTACATATATATCTAGCTACCAGCGTTTTATTTATTGTACTCTAAACTCTTTCATTTTATTATTTATTTCTTTAATATAACCACTTAATAGTCAGTTTTACAACGATGCTGCATTGTAGATAACATCAAATCCTAAGTGTATAGTCATTATATGAATAATAGTAAATCATTTTTATACAATAACTCTGTTACATTACGGCCTCGATATAAAACACTTAGTGTTTTAATAGTTGAAATAATTAATAGTTTTGTTTCCTATAAACTGTGAAATTAACAAAAGCGGTCAAATCGGGCGACATCAAAAGCCGCCGCCGCATACCCTCAGACTAAATTAATTTACTAATTTAAAGCCATTACAAATAATTAACGTTCTCGATAAAATTGAGCACAATCGATAAAAGTAACAAAGAGTCCACCGACCACTGCCATAACCAGTTGCTAAAGAAATGCTATTAAATTTATTATTACTTTAAACAGTAACTCAAGCGGTCTCATTACGTAATACAATACTTACAACAAGTGTCCATCGTCAACTTAACGGAGACAGTCATGGTTTTCCATTCATTACTCGTCAGCGATACATTTATGTACGTAATTATTTCTATAGGGATACGTCTTAACTGACGGTGTTCAGTTAAACGAAGCGAACTCCTCCTAATTCTACTGCGATATTAAATGTATAAAAACTGTACTAATTAATTGCATTCCCCAACAATTCTTATAACTACAAAATTGATCTCTCTTATATTTGATATCGAAGTATTCAATAAAAATTGCAGAATACAAATAAATTAATTGTATTAAATTCAAAGTTAAGTTATTGAAGGTGAATAATATTTAAACTAACGTACAAATTCTACCAAATATGAACCTTATGTCATTCACATAACGTGTAATGTCAACACCATATGTATATGTTAAACTGATTAAGCAGATTTCATTCAGCAAATGAGTTTAATATATAATATGTGTATCTCCACGCGCGGATCAAACAGGTGGTTGTCGCTACACGGTGTATGGAACGAATCGTACATTAATAGGCGACTTTCTTGATAATTATCCATATTATATGGTCAAAACAATCTTGTTACACGTCAATATCGAGTTATTCAATAAAACGATCAGCTGTCGGATAGATATTCAATAATGAAATGGGATTTTAATTAGAAAGGCCGAAATGAAAACTTCAATAATATCAGAAGGGTTCAACTTTTACGAAAACCGCTTTATACCGGAGAAACTCGAGAGCACTTATAAAACTGTTACTTAATAAATCAATCCATACAAAAAGCAATAATTTCACAAAACGTAATAGTAACAAAAATGTAAGTCAATTCGACTCGCCTAATTCTATCTATAACATGTTAGCAAAATTGTATTTGCGTGCAGAATTGTGATGTGATAACGATTCTGTTATCTATCACCATCAGAATAGAGTGTACATTACACATTCTGACGTGAAACGATACAAATGGAATACTTTAATTAAGGATAATAAAGCGTTGAATATAAAATATAGTTATAACAGTCCCACAAAATGATTATGTGAAATATCGTGTTGTAAATATGCATGGCATGTGAGAGCAGTATTAATACTTTCGACAAACGCAAATCCGATATTAGTGGATCATTTCGTAGAGGAAGCTATTTCGGTTTTAACTGTGATAAATATGAAAAATTAATTGAAACTGACGAATCGAATGTTTACGTCCAAATATTTTATAACCCTTTCAACTATGGGGTTATAAAATGTGTAATATTCACAGCTCGGTTAAAGAAATGCGAAACATTTTTATATATAAATTCATAGATAGATTTTAATTTCAAGTTAATTAGTAAAAACAAAGATATGGACAATTTGGACGCTTTTAGAACAATGTATTGGATAATATTAACAAATATACTTAAATGTCATTACTTTCAAATTGTTCTCTTTCACGTAAGTCGGGTCAATAAACGTTCGGACACGCGAACAGTAATTGTATCTAATTAATTTATAACATGTATTAAACAATTAAGAGAACGGTATCTAGATGCATTATCGTTGAATTCGGCGTTGTTACTTCCAATTGACTTATCTTTGTAAATTAATTAATGGCTGAGTCTCATCACGCGATAGTAATTGGATGTCTTATTGTTACCTACGACCTTACGGCTTTCACCGTTTTAAACATACGTGTAATTTGTATAAAGTAACCTTTTAATACCGTTGTGTCAATTCAAGAAATCATTTGAAATTAAGATCGAATTTAAGTCTCATTTCGAAGCGTTTATAAAAGCTTCTAATAATAGTCACATGGGCTTATAGGTAAATTAAAATAAAATTATAAAATGCAATGAAATATCGGTGAAATAAAATAAATTATCCTTTAGTAGTGTAAAAAATTAACCATTTAATAAAAAAATAATCACAAATTTGAACATTAATACAATCCTTTCAACATAATTATTAAAATAACGTAATTTGCTTTATTAGTAAATTCGTTAATTGTTTTTCAATTACTTAAATTCTTTTGATGTAGAATTATGATAGTAGTATAATGTACATATAACAAGAAAGTTAATATATAAGGAAAATCCGGTTAGACATATATAGATATAAATTAATTTAAAATAAACACAAGCACAGTAACATTTTAAAACTTAGTTACGTAAATTAATATTGAAATCTATTAGAATATAAATATGACTTTTAATAAGAAATTTATTTTATTTTATATAATAAATTGATACTTATAAGTTAGGTGATATAGTGATATATTTATTTTTAGTTTCTGAAAAGAGTAGATGTAAGATAATTGAGAAATGCCAAGATTAATATCATTTAAATAAACATACCACATAGATTATAACACATATAATATATAAAAATCTTGTTTAATGAAACGAAAATTGTGATAAATGTAGCTATCGTGACATTTTGCAAGCCTATAGCTAAAAAGTTTTAACTCTTCCATCAACAACTATACTTATATTTTGTTTTACTAATTCCGAAAAGATTTCTATTAATTTAGCGATTTCTTTAATATTCATGTTATGAACTTTACGTCAACTAGTGGTGAAAATCAAGCCATTCTTCTGTAGGAGAACACGGAAGTTACAGGTGGCTTGTGAGAATTGTACGGAATCCTAGAATTTAGCATATTTATATTCTGCTATTGCCGTTTTTGTGACATTTATAGAGGACTTATACATCTCTTTATGTACTAAAGCATTTAAAAAAATCATATTAATTTTACTAAGGAGAATCTTGTATATTTCTCTATATGTTTCCATCTGGACTTGGCTACTTCCAGTTTAATGTAGTTACGGTAAATGTAATGTGATCCGAGGTAAGCTGGGGGTAATAATTCGCACTGTTATATTGTAGTTTGGTAATGTCTTGTATTAATCTTATATTCAATTTACTAACATATATATCAATAAATTGAATTAGTTCCATGAATAATACATTGCTACATTCCTAAAATATTTTGTCAATAATTAAAGGACGTCGGATATCTAATAAAATTAATTTGCTTTTATCGAGAACTGATTTATCCTTAAATTGTTTATATCAATGGGACAATAATATAGAAATTAGAAACGAATGTTTGTTTCATCGTGCAGCGGTAAATGGAGAAACGATTGCCAATTTACCGACCCTACCTTGTCTTAATTGGTGCAGACTTACTCAAACTAGTGGGGAGGGAGGAAGTAATTTGTCATCGGTTAGCTAAGCAGGGGTGCAACGTCTCCTCACTAATGATATTCCGCATAATCAGTACCTCCGCCATCTGCTAATTACATAAATTGCCCGCTAAACCTATAATTTTCCTCGGGAATGAAGGTAGAGTAACTAATTTTAATACTTAATATTTCAATTCCATAGATCAACCAACTATCAGTCAGTCGACGGGCAACGTTGTTGATGGAATCAATCTAGAAGACATCAAGGAGTTTGCGAAGGCATTCAAGTTACGACGACTAGGCCTAGGCCTGACGCAGACCCAGGTCGGACAGGCCCTTTCCGTCACCGAAGGCCCCGCTTACAGTCAGAGCGCTATCTGCAGGTATTTCAAACGCTCATTACCATAAAGATATTAATTGCAGATTCAATATACCTCTCAATGTATGAAGTCGCACGCTTGGTTCGATGTTAAATGATTTTGTTCTATGAAAATTGTCCAATTCTTATAAGCATGTGACCAACGACTTTGCCGCTTCGACGTCACGCAGCTCCAAATATCACAATAACTTTTTAATATCGTTAATTGAAGTGATTTGTAAAACAGCACGACTCCTTTCATTGCCTACAATTCGTTTAATTAATTACCATTTGGACGGCTTCCGTTCCGCTATCTCGGTCAGGTTTTTTTTTAAATCTACTCGCATTATAATTAAAATTTATTTTTTACTTGTAACATTAACAAATAGGTTTGAATATATTATAAATATAAGCAATTTTATCATAATTTACATATTAACTCATTTGTTTGTAATTAGCCGTTGCATTGTATGTCATGTCATGGTTTTAGTGGCCACTAAATTATCCCTTGGTTTAAAAGTAGCTGTTAATTTATCTTAACTGTTAAAATTGTTACTCATGGTTGGTTTGTTGTTTTATAATATAATTAATGTTGACTAGCTTCCGCACGCGTCTTCGGTGTACCTTGATCCAAGGTGTTGATTAAAGACGCGGTACTTTTATCAAAATGCATATGTAAATAGTCATTAAAGAGAAGATTTCGGCTTTTAAGTGTATTAGAGAGTTGATTTAGCGTCATATTCTTTAATAATAATTTGTATGAACACAAAATTCGAAGTGTATTGTTTGAATTTCTCTACGATGATGTTACAAGTTTTGAAACATTCATTTGTTCCTTAATACAAACATCCGTTTAACGCGTGTCTGATAGATTTTCCTTATGTTTAATTGAAATTGAATGATTGAAAACCTCACCAGCGATAGAGCCGCCCGTGTCGGGACGGCTCCAAGGAAATTTCAACTCGACCCTGATCGACCTCGGCCGTATAATAAAATCATTAATCGTTACTTCTGGTCCAGTTAATTAATTATCTTGGCGTAATTACTTTTTTCGTGTAATTAAAAGAGTAGAATTCTCCTGTCTTTGTCCCGTGATTTCGTTTTCCATTAATTTTTATTTCTCCCCAATTTGCTATTGTGACGCCGTACACGGCTGTAACCCCTTTGATTATGCTAGACTCAATTAATTTGCATTATAATTAAAATTATTTCTGAATACACGTTACACTTCTAAGACGAAAGTCTCATTAACGGAACGGTCGTTTATTTTTTAACGGACTGGCTAAAACCATTAACATCGCAGACAAAATGTATAATTCAATTAACAGTGATAGCATTTCATGTTAATATGGTCATTGAGCTCACTCAATAATCACGGTCACTTGCTAGGATCGAAAACATTGAATCAATCATGTCCTTATTACAATTTTATAAGAGACAGACGACGTCAACGCATCTGTGACTTACGACAAAGGTATTGTTTACAGCTACACTGAATAACTTGTCCGAACATAGGTACCTACGTTAAACTTTCGACTTAATACGTTGAAGACCAAGCCTGCGATTTCAATGATGTGCTTTCAAAGTGCTCTACTATACGGGGCGCGTTACTTTATACACTAACATATGATCTGTTACCGTCCCCAGTGCCCTGGCTTCGCAGATGCTAGCAGCTCAGCTGTCTTCACAGCAACAAAACATGTATGTGTTTTGTTTACTATATCCCTACACTCGACTCCGAAGCTAACTTCGTTCGGACACACTATCTTTTCTAACACACAATCTGAACGAACTTAGCTCCGGAGATACAAATAAGCACACGACACACACCGCTTCCACGCCGTACGTAGATTGTCTTTTAATCAAAATGTTTCAACGCTGTTTAATAAGATGTTATCTCGGTCGAACCGTGCATGCCGCTTGATTGAAAGCCGCATACATTTATATATAATTACCGGTTTTGGCGTTACTTCTATATCTTTTCACACGTATAACGTATTTACATAATAATTACAGAAAGGCGTTGTGCATCGGACGCGCTACATTTTGATGTTAAGACATACGTTAGACGGTCCCGGGTCGACATAATGACTAATTGTTATGAGAGTTTTATCAAATAGCGTTACGAGTTAACTCATAAAGCATGACGGATTATTTCATTTATTATTATTATTATTATTTCTTTTTATTCATTTTGCGCAATTCAAAGCCAGGGCATTGGCATACGTTACCTTTCGTATATAATTGAATTCATTCTATCGTTACACGTCCAGCTTCCATCAAAGTGATCACCTCGGCCTAAATTGCCTATTGTTTTTTGTTGTATGTCTAATGCTATGTCAATGTCCTGTCTGTATTTAAGTTGGTATTGGGTTTTAATATCGGGTGAGCGTCACGCGTTATATGATAAAGAGAACGGTGCGTAAGTTTCTAACATACAAATTTATGTTCGATACAGATTTGAGAAATTGGATATAACTCCAAAAAGTGCGCAGAAAATCAAACCGGTGCTTGAACGTTGGATGAAGGAAGCCGAAGAGAGGTAAATATTGTTTGAGTGAATTATGAGATCGTGTCGTGTACAACATTTGGCCCATAAAGCTTGGCGTCGTGAATATTTCTCAAATCTGGACTAACTGAGCTTAATGTTTAGGTTCATGCACATTGCTTTGTTTGTATTTATTTTATTGCACTGATTTTTATATTATAAGTTATCATTACTTCCTACAGGTATTACGAACGGTTAACATCCTTTTATTATAACATTACAACCATTTATAATACCTTGTTATTTTAATTATACAACTATAATTCTCACTAACAATCGTGTATAATTAATGCCAATTAGAAATTTAACAATCGACACTACAATACTAACAACTAGTAGGGTATACTTCACTCAGATACAATGTAAACGAAATAAATTTCAATAATATCGGTCCAGGTGCCGCTTGTATCTCGGAGACCTCTTAATATCTTGTAAGGACGGCCATCTATCGATTTTACATTGTACATCATTAAAATGCATTATCTGGGTGCAACGGGAATGGTTTTAACATTGCAAATGCCTGAATTTACAATCGCCTCTCCTGGTGGTAATTTTTAACGAGCGACTACGTTAACAACGCCCCTTGAATTAATAAAGACATAGATCCATTTCATTAATGCTAACTAGCAAAACAACCTTTAAAATTTTTAATACCCGCCAGTCATTTATCCAACCCTTGACGAAATTCGATTTCGCGTGTGAACTAATTTAGTTTTCAAAGCAATTTGCGACACTTGTTCTTCATTTTTTATTCGTTCACTGTTTGCTTACAGTTTATTCAGTTCTATACGTATACGTATTTAAAAATCCTTTTAATTGGTCGATAACTGCTATGTTTTTAAATAAATGTATATTTCATATAATGTATTTTAATTAATCGATATTGAGTATACTTTACGAGGAAAAACTAACAATCGTTGTGATTCCAAACGGATATCTGTTTTAATGAAACCAATTCCAAAAAATAATATTTCATCCGTACATTTTCATTATTGGAATAAAAAAATTAATAAAACCGACCAACAATAACTGTTTTTAGATTAAGGAAGAATATAATATGAAACGTAGAAGCGACATAAAAAAAAGATGAAATTTATTCGCCATCTTGAAGTTTAAACAGATACCATAACATTCATATATGTAAGGGGATTCAATGACACTTGTATTATGAAACCAGACCAAGGTTTATTGTTTACATCTGACGTTCATCACTTACTTTGGTTTTCAATATGAACTTGAAAATAAGCTGCATGCTCTACTTAAGACTGCATGCCTAACTAATATTATAAAACGCTTAGAATAATCAAAATACAATGCTCATTCATTATACTTTGATTATTATTAGCTTTATATTGTTAATTTTATGTAGGTATTCATAGACCGTGTGCAATTTACTACAACATGTATATTTACTATTATTTCTAAATAGCGCAAAAAATCAATGTATTCTTATAAAAACATAATGGAACACTAAAATGCAACGATATTACTCCAATCGATGTAACACTAATCCACAATACTAAACAAACGAAACAATTTCATATAGCAGAATCAAAACGCTTATGATAGATACAATACAATTTAGAACTCAAAATCATAGTGAATAAGGTCTATTTTTCACAGGTACGCGTCCGGTCAGAACCATCTAACGGATTTCATAGGCATGGAGCCTAGCAAGAAACGCAAACGACGGACGTCCTTCACGCCGCAGGCTCTGGAACTACTCAACGCTCACTTCGAACGAAACACGCACCCATCTGGTTAGTTCGATTGACTGTCATATTACAATGATGACAATGACAGCACATAAGAATGACATATTTTTAAAAATTTACAATTAAACATCCTATGAACCATAGAGTATAGAATCGAAAATGGTGTTGAAATCTCTTCAGACTTAGTAGACATTTCATGAATAAAGTTTAGGAGCTTTGATAGCTTTAGAAACGATCTGACTTTGTATGATGTATTATCATTAACGTAAGGATAATTTTCGACTACAAAAATTTTTATATCAATAACAAAGTTAATACCACAGATACATCACATTATATACAGTCATATTGAGGAATCTTTTTCTTTTCTGTTCTAAAGTCTTCAACTGAACTGTACGATTGTAAATGTTTTAATTCCCTGTCAATTCTCCGTTTACAGGAACAGAAATCACCGGCCTGGCTCACCAGCTCGGCTACGAGCGGGAGGTCATCAGAATATGGTTCTGCAACAAACGACAGGCTTTAAAAAACACCGTGCGAATGATGTCCAAAGGGATGGTCTAACATCAAACTTTAACTATAAACACTAACACCATTCACGAGCTGCCAACTGAAAATGAACATAAGAATTCTTTATAACTTAAACATCGACATAATCCGTTTCTTGGTGTCGATAAAAAATGTAATAACTTCATCGACGTATTCACGAACGTCACTAGTTTAGAAAGAGTCGCCAATATTATTGCTACCTCTTTTCCTTAAAAGGACGAAATATGTATATTTTGTTGACATGTTGACACTTGACACCATGACATAGTAATGTCAAAGTTTCGCTGCCAGTATATTTTATATGATATTTATAACTGTTTAGTAAATTTAAAACCAAGTTTATAACTGGCAGTTCGACTGGACTGGTTGCCCCCGATTCTTTGAAAAATGTGGTTAAACACCAGGCAGCTAAGTATCATGATTTAAATTTGATTAACAGATATATATTATCCTTCATTATAATTTGCAAGACTTAAATTTAAACAATGCTGAAAATTTTAAAAGAGAATTCTGGCCTTATTCGAATCACGAGACTCCAGCCAAGTTTAGAAATGTACGATTTTTTTATATTAAAATTAAAATGAAAACATTTCGACTGATATATTTGTCTCGACGTAGCTACTTTTACTATGTACGGTAGAAATATATAGATGTTTAGTACAAAAACAAAAAAAAAACGAGTGATCACGGTTTAATACTCCTTATGTCACTGTATAATGATTTATCATTATAGTGACGAGAATTTAACGTTTAATTTCTATTATCGATAGTTTTGTTACTGTGGCTTGCCCTTAACGCTTAACGTAATAATTTAAGAGGCCGTTTTATTTAATGAAATGCATTTGTAAATAAGTACAACATTTTAAATTTAAACTCAAACAAACGATAAAGGAATGTAAGTTATAGATACATTAATTTATTGAAATACTCTGAGTTGTTTCTTTCTATATAGAGAATGTTGCACTTTATAGTTTTAGGATAACATAACAATATAGGTGTAGTTAAAATGTGTCGTCGAACTTAGTGGCCTACTGATTTTTTTAATATCATTTTAATTATATATATATTACTTTTTGTTTATAGATAGGTTTATAAACGATATGTATAGAATAATTGAATGCATCGTCGTGAAATGTAAATATTGTTCTATTAATTTTAGTTCATTAAATCGTATTATTAGTTTTACGTTAAATATAACTGAACTATAAGTTTAGCTTCGTAAGACATTCGTCTAGATATTCGAGTTGGATATTTGTTGCAATATTAAATGATTTTTCAAAGTGTTCTCATTCGTTTCATGTTCGCATATTACATGTTTGTTCAAAGGCGATATATTGATAGTTGACATACAAATGACAGCAGGTCTTTTTGTTGATTTGGAAGCAAACGAAACATCTGTGCATATTATTTGGGTTGCTACTAAAAAAAAAAACTAATAAAATTGCCTCGCATTTGGAAAGTAGATTTCGAAATATTATACTCATAGATTTTCAAAAAAAAAAAATTATTATGTATGTTTTAAGTGTTGTAGGCACCCGAACAGTATGCACATAATAAAATGATGTTTATATTTATGAGTTACTTTAATACATCCAAATTACAAAAAAAAAACGCCGACAAAATACAGAATTGCATTGTGTTTCATTAATATTAATTTTCCTACATTGTATTAATAAAATGAAATAGTAAAATGCTATGTAAATAGTTGAACAGGATTCAAACAAGAAGGACCTACTGTGAGCTGTAAGACCGTATCATAGTATTAAGGCTGTAATTTAACGTATGTTAATGACCAATGAAAACCAACTTGTGATCATTAATATTTGTACTGTTACCTACTACTTAACAAGAGTCGTTAAAAAATAATATTATAAAATTGAACATATTTTTCGGCTGTTGAAAAATTGTAAATACAATATTAAGGATAATAAAAAAACTATTTGGATTAATATTTAGGAACAAATGGAAAAAAATATTATCAAAATTTATATTTTCAAAAATTATTACAATTGCAAAAAAAATGTGTATTTAAAAAAAAAGGAATGTTTGGCCATAATCAAAATTTTTATCGATGGATTTTTTATCGACTAAAGCACACCACTACACAAAACAAGCAGTACGGTAAACAGTGTATAAAAATTGTGCGATGCGATACTGCGAGTAATGTAATTATAATGGAGTCAGATGTTTCGTATCAATACTTCAATTAATAAGAGTGTTAGAACTACCATAGTGTTATAAGTATACATATTCTGTGTTTCAATAGAATTGGTCCGTTTATTAATGTCCGATAAATCGATTGGAAGCATCAGTTAGTGCCATGCTTTATCGATAAATTTATATAATACATACGAAATATCTGATTCCCATCAAACATTAGTGTAATAGATGGAAGCATAGAATGCTAAGTACAAATAATAATTTAACGATAAACTGCTAGTCCGTTACATGTAAAAGTATATAACATTTTAATTGCACGGCAACCTCGCATCGCACCCTGGTTTTCATAATCCGCATGTATTTATAATAATAATAGTTTAAAATACAATTATTAAATTCTACTACACATAACTTCATCTGTAACACATATTCAAACCAAACTGTAACAGTATCTAATAGTGTATTAATTTTTCTTCCTGTAATGGTACCGAATGAATGACTATGGCTGCTGGATTATGAAGAAAAGCAGATTAAAGGCAGATAACTGTTTGAATAATTGTTTTATTACACCGCTATTACCCTCCAAAATAATATTGCATAGTTATTTAAATTTTATTTGTGAATATTCGAAGAAGTAAAGCCTTTATTAATTTTATTTTCTAATCGTGAAAGAAAACTGCTAAAAGAGCTCACGGATAGAACAAAATATTTGTTGAAATTACTGGGAAGTTTTAAAAAATTAGTTTCATTTAAGTTTTAAAAAGTTATTCTAATATCGAAGCAATAAAATAGTGTGACTTGGTTTTGGTTAATAAATTCTCAATAAACATATTGTTTCAGATATAATTTTCGATAATAGTTTATGTCAAAAATAACAACACAGCAATGTAATATTTAGTGACAGAGGCAGAGGTAGAGATAGATGTAGAGATGCTTAAAAGTGAAACAATTTGAAGTTCTGCATATATATTTTTAATAAACCTATATAAACATTATATTATGTTATAAGGGATACATTAAATAGTTACAGATTTATCGTTGATTTTACTAAATAAGAAGAAAACTGTTAATAAAATAATGAAAATTACAAAAATGTTATAGTTAAAAAATTATACATATTTTAGGTAATAAAAAATTTATTATATGCCCTTATATTTCTCTACATTCATGTTCATGAAATAAATAAATTGATAGCTTTCTCAAGCAGCAAAATAAATTAATAATAGCTTCAAATAATTCAGCAATGTTTTAAAATAATTATAATGCAAAAACCAAACGTTTCGTTTGCCATACTGAAATCAGAAATGTCAGTGTCAATAATTCAATATGGCGAAACTAAGTTTTGTTTGAAGTGGAGTGAGCGAATTTTGCGAGTTTTTAACAATAAACTGTAATATAAGTAAAAATATTCAAGTACTATCAATACACTTACATTAACTTGACTTAAGAAAAGCTAGAAACGCTCGTTAATCAAATCAAGTATGAAAACTCACAAGATCAAGATTTGATAACAAATATACGGAAAAATGTGAAACTTGCAATACTAGTCTTATATATTTATGTCTTTATTAAGTTGGACTCGACAGAGAAGTTATCCTTTTATTATGCAGTTAACACTGTAATAACGTTCATGATTCATAAGGTTATAGGTTAAGGGATACCTAATTAAGTAGTGAAACCTCAAGTCGCGTATATTACATTGTGCTCAGTTATCTGATAGTAACCGATGAAATGATCGAGAGTGTATCTCGTCGTGCGTTCAGCAGTTCTAGCGGCACCTACAACGTTCGTGCCTCGGAACTGGCCCGCGAACGAAAGCTTAATATCTTCAATGTCACCGTCGTGTTTTTGGACGATACCCAGCAATTATTTCAGATCGAGGTGAGCTATTTGAAAAATATGCGAGCGTATTTTACACTGAACTTTTAAGTTTACATCCTTTGTTATTATTATTCATTAATATTGCCATTCATGATTCATATTTATGAATATTGTTTACTGAACAGAAACCAATTTTATGCATGAGATACATGATAATTTTTTTTCCTTAATAAATGTGAAATCAAACGAAATTTACAATATGGTATTTCATTTATTGCAGAAAAAAGCCAAGGGAAGTGTGCTATTAGAACATGTTTTTCAAAACCTTGAGTTGGTTGAAAAGGATTACTTTGGCTTGCAATTCACTGAAAATGGTTTACCACCCAATGCTACAAATACAGAGTTAACAGTGAGTTACTTATATTGAATACAACTGATTAACTATTTATATATATCTTGTTTTGTAATATAATATATTATTTTCCTTTTGAAGCAGTCATGTGTCTAGTTGTATTATTAAGTAAAATAATAATTTTATGTTTTCCTTACTAGTAATTATTTATATAGATGTACTATACATAAACATGTTTAAACTAGTTACTAAAAAAGACAATGATAATTTACCTTTGTATAAGAATTTCACTTAGAGAACTTAATATATGGCACCTCCGTCCGTCACTCTGTCTGTTGATATGAAAATTACATGTAATAAAGAATGCTTAATTCACTGAATACACTCAGGAAACCATAGCTCAGTTGGTAAAATCATTAGAATGCAATATCCGAAGGAATTAGGTTCAAATTCTGCTAGTTGAATAAATTTCTCTCTAAATATTCTTAAAGTAAAGGTATGAGTTTTAGTGCAACATTGCTTTAATATTAAAAACATAATTGCAGAGTAATGCAGCATAAAAATAAACTTGCATATTATCTCCTTTGAATTACTCAAGATTAATAACATAAATACTTTATTAATAAGCCTAGTAACTGTTATCAAATTGGAAATAAATTTTTTATAATCATTTCCTTATGGTTTCTGATTGAAATAAAACACTATACTTAACAGGTTTTTCAATGTGAAATCAGTAGTTATATTTAATATATAATTGCAATTTATTCAAGAATTTCATTTAATAAATGCAATAAATAATTAATAATGCTATCAAAACCAAGTATAACTTTTAACCTATTATAATATCAAAATTAATTTTAATATGAAATTATACTTGTTATCTATAATAACTATAAAGCTTGAATATAATGTTCAGTTATTGTTTTTTTACTAATCATTGAAAAAGGAATTACATTACTGATAGTGAATGAATTGACTTATTTATTATCAGTAAAAAAATCTATTCTAATAAAAGACTATATTATATGTTTAAAATAGAATGTTTTTTGTGGATGAAGTTTATTCTTGTTCAGAATGTTATAGAGGAATAGAGAATAAGTACAAATAAAAAGGATTTATGAAAAATTTGTTTCTAATTGTGTTCTATGTGAAGGGTTGAGGTGTACTATAATATACATCTATATATAAATAGCAATATCTATATGTAACTCTTAAGCATATAATTCTTGAAAGTATTATTAAAATTTAAATTCGAAATATTGTCATATGTATTGCATATGTAAAATAAAAAAATATATAATAACATATATTCTAAAGGATTAAAATATAAAATTATCTAATCTACTTATGTTTGGTATGAGTCATATGTTTTGGTTGTAAAAAATACAAGGCTGGCAGTTACAAACAAAACTACAAAAATGTAGAATTTTTTAGTATATAGTTTTTATTTTATTTTTTTATACTTTATTTCTCACCAGAATAAATAATCACAAAATAAATACATTTATGTAATAAAGGGGGTATAACAATCAATGAAACTTCCATAAAAGTATTTGTTACTTTGAATCTTAAAAATTAAAAAGGATACCAGAACATAATTATTCAAACATTGAATTATTGCTAGTGTATTTTCTACTTTCAATGCTGTCTTTCAAATGAGAACTGTTGTAGTAAAATCGCTTAAGCCAAATGCTAATTAATGGAAATGTATTGATAGAGAAATTATGACTATTTATTATTCTTCACTGATTTCATTATACTAAATATGCATATGTAATTTAACGCTATTTTTATCAAGCAAAATATTAGTATCAGAAAAAAATATGTAAACAATCATTATATGTATTTACGGATATATATAAATGTATAAAAGTATATATTTAATTATGCTTTTTCCTAGTTTATTTTTGTATTACTTCAATTAAATAATCATAATAATTTGCTATGTTATTACCTATTAAACAAAATATATCAAAGTTAATATTTATTCTGTTATCTTTTAACAGTGACTCATCACCAGCCATCTATAGTTGGTCATGCTTTGATATATAACATTTTTAATTGTAACCTGCATGACTCAAACTTCTTGGTATCTTTAATTTGCAATTCAATAGTTTTGTATCATTATTTGACGGGACTTCCTAAGAGCAAGGTATAATGTTTTGTTTTGTGATTTAACAAATATATATTTATTTTTTTAGTTTTAGTTTAGTTTTGTGTTTTATTTATTAAAATGAATTAAATGAAGTCTTATGTAGGGTGAGTTCGCTGCAAACAGAGGTTCCAAGAAAGCTATGAAACTTACTTATATGTTTATTATAATAAGAATTACATGATTACTACATTTCATTGCTTGTGTTGTATCAGGAATATTCTCATTCACACGGCGTTATATATTTTATCCATACAACGATATTGCCGAGGTTCATTTAATATTTTTTAAATGTTACGCGTACGTAAAAAGTGTTTTGATGAATTTTATTTGATAATTTCAGCGTTGGCTTGATAGTGGCAAATCAGTGAAAAAGCAAGTTGGTGTTAATCCGCACTTCTGGCTGGCCGTACGCTTCTACCCTCCTGAACCGAGTCGGTTAGCTGAAGAATACACGAGATATCTTCTTTGTCTCCAACTAAGGAAACTACTTCTTGATGGAAGAATGATAGCTCCGAAGAATACAGCGCTTCTACTAGCTTCATTTACAGTACAAGGTTGGTTTTGATAATTTATCTTAATAATTAAAATTCGATTAAAAATATATGATGAGTGACTTTGAACCTGTCACCTTGGAAGTATAAAATTCGAATTTGTTTTCAAATTTAACTATCATCCTGTGTTATCTCGATAATATAATGAATCGAATTTATTTTTAAAAAGTTCGTGGTGGCTTTTTGATTAAAGGCCCCCTCGTGCAAGAGGAGGTGGGTTCGAAACCCGTCAAGTACCAATGTGATTTTTCCGAGTGTAATATGTACGTTATAATATGTACTTTCTAAAAAGTAAGAGTATTTAGATACCACTGACAGACGGTGAAGGAAAACATCTGGACTTATAATTTCAAGTTATAAGTTTGAAATCACCAACCCGTCTTTAACAAGCGTGGTGATTAATGCTCAAACCCTCTCTATGTGTAAAAATTCCTTTGATTCGCAATGGGCTCTGATAGGATGATGATGATGATGCTTAATTTCCTGCCGTTGATATAATGATATTAGTTCATATTAATATGCAGTATTATCTGATTTTTATATTAATATGTATGTATGTATGTTCCAGCCGAACTCGGTGATTATAATGCAACCGAGCATCAGAACAATTATCTGTCCGAGCTATGCCTGTTACCCAAGCAGACCCCTGAAGATGAGAGACGTATTAAAGAACTACACAAGCTTCATAAAGGTCAATCACCCGCTGATGCTGAAGCTAACTTTCTGGAACACGCGAAACGATTGGACTGTTACGGCGTTGAATCACATCCCGCTAAGGTAATGTATGGAAGATTAATAATAATAAAACTATGGATTATAATAGAACATATACATGCTATTATTCTCTGGGACTTTTTTTTCATAAAGTATGCTATATACTATCAGGTTTAATGAAGATCAGGATACTTCTTAATTATCATTTTTGAAGTTATACTTCTTTTGGTGTGATGGAGAAAAATGGAAAGTGAATTTTTGACAGCGACATCGTGAAGTTAGTTCTAGATGGCATGTTAATTGATAACTATGTTCAAGTTATATATTCTAGTCCATATTTTTATATTTAGAACACGTGTTTCGTAACAGTACAATTAAACAGTGTCAATAAATAAATATAATTTTGGTGTTTTTATTAAATATTGTGGAATGTTGTTATACTAGTATGTCTTATAACAATTGAAATTTTATGTAAAAATTAATAAGTGGAAAATATATGAATGTGTGTTTCATGATGTTTTTCTTGTTCCAGGATTACAATGGGAAGGACATATTGATTGGCGTCACGTCAATCGGCATCGTCGTTTTTCAGAACAACATACGAGTCAACACATTCTCTTGGAGCAAAATTGTTAAAATATCGTTCAAGAAGAAACAGTTCTTTATACAGTTGAAGCGAGAAGCTGTAAGTATAGATATAAATTTAGTATTCTTACAAAATCATTAAAAATATAGTTGTATTATGAATACTTTTAAATACGAAATCAAATCTTAACTAGAACAAACTACTTGTTATATTTAAAAAATACCTATATAATAATAAAAAAATAGTTAAATTTAATTTACAAAGACACAAATCGAGTCGACAAATATTTTCCCTCGTGAAGTCAACAAAACAAATGTATTCGCTTTAACGACATTTAGGGTGCATTCCCGAGCTAGATTCGGTTCAAATTAAATTTGTGTCCCCTATACAGGGTGACTGGTGAATTACTATCAATATTTAAGGACGTGGTAGTTGACGATCATATATGACAAAATAAAAATTAATATAACATAAATATTAATAAACTTCTAAGTAAAGTTAACCAAAAGTTATGTAATTAATTACGGATCGCGTGGATACCCTAGCTGCGTTATCGACACAAAACAGTTATGTACGTAGGTATATGTAGTTATCGCGCGGTAGTTTACCTACATCCAAACGCCGCGCGCCGCCGCGTGTTAGACCTTAGATAAACAAAAATGATCCAATTCCCTTCATACTTTAATCCTGGCTTAGGACAGGCAAAAATACCAAGATATTTCTTTCGTTTAAGCAACCAATTTATTGACTAGGTAAATGGTGTGACCTTGACACGAAAAATAATATGAACTGTTTACCTATCTTGGTATTTCCGGCGTATTTAAAAATGGAATCATTCTTATTTACAACAATTGTCAATCATTAAACTACCTATTTACCTACATAACTACACTAACCTTAACAAATGTTCAAAGCGAGCTCCTTCTCGTGTGATACACAGTTCGGCACGTTTACACATATTGTCTTTCACACGATTTAATACGAATGGGTCACTTTTAATAGTTTCGAAAGCACTATTGATTTTTAATTTCAACTCCTCTCTGTTGACATACATTGTAGCATACACAAGACGTTTCCTTGGGCATGTGTTGGAACACGGAACTGTCCGAAGTCTCGTAATCTTTGATTAGCGTTTAAGATGATGCTGGCCGTAGGTACTCGACGATTGGGGAACATCTCCCGGTACAAATTGATTGCGCCCGGCAAGCTATCATTTGCACGCGCATACGCATGAACCATGTCCAAGTATTCTGCATTTGTGTATGGAAAAGCCATATTTAATTACTAATAAGTAATAACGGGTCACACGCACACACGACAGATTATTATTAGGTATACGCGTAAGATCGATCGCTAGGCGCGCGCGCGGGAAGACGAACGTACGGACCTTACGGCGGCGCTCGCGCGACTAATAGCCGACTAATGGCCCGCTAGCCACGGGGCGGGGGTTGGGGAGTAGCGACACACTGGCGCCGGCAAGGTTGAGTACGTGTCCAAACTTTATTTATTTATACGGAAATTTGGTCAAAAATTAAGTACCTATTTTTTTTGCATAATTCGAATGAGAATCATGTACCGAGTATTCTCCTTAAATATTGATAGTAATTCACCAGTCACCCTGTATATGTATATCCAAAATATACTTAACCAGAAAAACTATATTTTTTATTTCCTTAGTTAGCTTGCAACTTCTATAAATTAGCAATATTGGTTCAAGCCATTTCAAGTGTAATTGTGCACATAGTGATGCCTCTAGTTAATATATGTTAATGTTGTTCTCAAGTTTGATTCCCGTTTAAGAAATTCATGTATGGTGAATACTCATACAATTAATTCATACTCATATTAATTCATGTGCCATGATACAATATTGTGTGAAGATTACACATTAATCTTAATAATATGTATTAATCTTAATAATATGTATCGTAATATGTATTAAGTGTGTTTTGGCCTTAATAATTCATGGTCAGGACAAAGATTTGGACCGCGAATAAAAAGTATGAATTATAACATACAATTAACTGACTATCAGCAATTGTATCTTATCGAAGCAATTATTAATCTGACAGAAGCAATCGTTAATCTCTAAAAGTTTTTATCCAGCCTATACTAAACAACGTGCTTGCTTGTTACTCCAAAACGAACGGACTTTATTCATAGACAAAACTAAACTACTACATGTGTCTAACATATTTACCACTAAATGGCGCTAGTTGTATTATTTTTAGGTTTAGGTTTAGAGATGATTTATTTTCCATTAAGAACAAAGTTCACTTACATAGGAAACTTAAACTAGTAACATAATAATAAACATTTATAAAGTTAATGGTGAACTTATTTATACAAACATTCAAATATAATTATAAAGTTTGACAGTACGTTTTTAATTTAGCCTTAAATTTCAAAAAAAGATTTTTCGATAAACATTTCTTTTGGTAGATTATTGCACATTAGCGCTCCCTCAAATTGTATAGTTTTGTTACCATAATGTTTAGTTCTAGACTTAGGTATTTATAATTTATGTATATATATATTTTAATGATGCATTATAATTCGTCAATTTTGCCCAATTTGACTAAACTTCTAACATTCGCATAAAAGAATTTTAAAGAAGAGGAGGTCATTGTAACCGAGCCATAATCATGATTCATGAGTAATCTGGTAAGTGAGTGGTTCATTTTGTGGTGGTGTTAAAGCCACTATTTGGCGTTTTTTGGAATAAATTTTGTAATTTTTGGTATTCCGTAAAAATATTTTATACTTAAGTCGGACTCACCATTTTGTTTACGCTCCTCAAGCTCATTCTTTAAATTTTGTAAATATTTAAATTGAGTCGGAGTTTGATCCCAAAAAATACGAATACTTTTGTTTTTCGTTAATGTACGGTTTCTTAATATACAGTTCGCAGTGTCCTGACTATCAAAACATACCTTTATGTTGCGGTTTTTACCCGGGGTGTATTTACCTAGTCGAAAAATTTTATTTGGTTTTGGGCAGTTTTCATAAACGCTTGTAATAATTTTAACTACTTCCTCGTTAAATTTGATCTTCTCATATTCTCTAATTCATTTTTTATAGTATGGTGTTCAGTAATTAAACTTTCTGTTGCATTTTTAATTTCTTGAATTTCTTTTTTTATTTCCGTCATTTGTTGACATATTTTGTTATTGGTTTCATTGGTTGTTGCACTAAAATTGTGGAAAAAACACTGTATTTCACTCCGAAGTTTATTTATTTCTTCTATAAAAAATGTAGTAGAATTGTTTTCTCGTCCCTTCTTTCTTCTCTGTGTTACATTTTCTTGTTCCCAAGTAGTACCACGAAATTCAAGCGCAGAATCGCTTCCGCTCATGGAATTTCTGTCTTGCGCCAGTGGTTGGAGACTCATGCTTAGATAGCGATAAGCAGTTAACTCGTCGCGGAATACTTATTTTCAAAGATCGTATGTGTGTTCTATTGCACAGTTCAATATAAACGTTTTGTTGTAGTAGTTAAAGTCTATTTAAACTAAGCACTGTTTAAATAAAAATATAATTTTTCAAGTAATTAGATGCAGACGTCTACTCCGTACTGCAGTCGATCACAGATTGTATAAACTGTTGTATCACCAATTATATAAACTAACAATATTAACAATTATTATTGACCAATTTCCAGTCTGAATCGTACGACACCGTGTTGGGTTTCAACATGCGTTCTAGTCGTGCGTCGAAGGCCCTCTGGCGGTGTAGTGTGGAGCGTCACGGGTTCTTCCGTCTGCGAGCCCCGCGCCGCAAGGCCTTCCTGGGGGCCTGGGGGGCCCTCGCCGGGGTCACCGCCCCCGCTGTCATAAGGACCGAGACTCAGGCCTTAGAAGACGCTAAACGATCACGATCTATTAACAGAAGTTTTGTACGGTCAGTATGAAATTGTTTACACAACGAAAAACTGTTAGTGTTTTTTTTTAATCACTGAATCACTAGTCATTTTGCTTCTAGTAGTAATACCTATAAACAAAATCCACCGTCCGGATACGACTCAGTAAATTGAACATTCTGTGTAATTCCACAGTTGTAAAGTTAAACATAAATTAATCACTATCCAATCCCATAAACGCTTATACTAATGTTAAATCTTGTATCTCTGTTTCTAATCAATCTTAATATATAGTCGCAGTAGTTCCCGTAACCGTGACAAATCATCCGGGGCTTCCCCCGGCGTAGTGAGCAGCGCCCGGGGGTCACGCGTCACTGGTCACGACGAGCCCCCACCACGAGAGGCCTGGGGAGACGAAGTACACAATAACGAAGACGAGTACATACATACATACAGATTATAGAATAAATAGAATATAATTCTTATATGATTACATAAAATATGATAGTCAATTGGGTAACATTCATAAAATGGTTGTTATACACCAATAATAATAGATAGAACAAAATTAAATTACAATTTTTGGCTATCTGTTTCTTGTCACTGATTTCTGAAATGGTTTAACCGACTCTTATTTGGCTTTCATCAATATAATAAGTTATTTGGCCTGGATTTGGTTATGAAACCTTAATAATATTCGAGATATAGTTCCAGATTTGTTTTTCTATGTTCAGCGTTATTTCCAGTTATGTCCTACAAAATGGCTGAAAGCAGTATTTATATGCACACAAAATGCAATGGTTCACTATTACAATTCATTATAATAATTCCTAAAAACAATTTTGTCGATTCACTATATTTTAATTAGAAAAGCATAGATGGCGTCACTAGTAACATAAGTTTATCAATGTATTATAGAAATCTATTACAGTATGTTAGATTACTCCAGCATAGATGGCGCCACTAGTAACACAAATTAATTAATATAATATATCCAGTAGCGACGGCGGCTTCCTAGAGCGTGTGTTCCGCGTGCCGTTAACGTATGTGGACGAGTCGGAGTCGGAGTCTGCGACTGAGCGGGGGGAGGAGGAGGCGGGTGAGGGGGCGGTGTGTGTGAGGCTGCAGCCCGGGGGGGACGGGAGATACGGGTTCAACGTGAGGGGCGGAGGGGGGGGCGCGGCTGTACTAGTGTCCAGGGTCATGCCGAGGACGAGGGCCCACCTGCAGGAAGGAGATCAGGTATGATATGATATATTTAGGTTTAAAGATCTTTATTTTCCAAAAAAGACACCAAGTCACTTACATGGAAACAAAAAATTCAAGCAATATTAAATGTCGTTCTTAAGATATAATTACATAACAAGTTGTTTTACTCATTCAATGTATTCAATTTACAGGTGGGTAGTTTTGTATAATATATTCCGATAGTTTAGTTTTGAATGTATGATACTGTATAATGAACCTAGGGACAGGTCAATGAATAGTTGGTCCATACGAATATATAAAGGTAATAATTGATACAGTGTTGTAAATCTGAGACAAGTATGGTCAGTGAATAGTTGGTCCGTACGAATATATAAATATGTAACAATATATGGAGATCAGGTACAGTGACATCATGTATTATCCTGTAGGATAGGTTCATGAATAGTTTGTCTTTACAAACAAAAACAAATAATAAAGAAGTACCAATAACGATAACTTAAATGGAATGTAGGGATCTAGGTCTGCGGTGGCCTAGTGCTTTAATGGCCCGCCTCTCGGGCACGAGGACGTGGGTTCGATCTTGGCAAGTATCAATGGGACTTTTCCGAGTCAAATGTACTTTCTAAGAGTATTTAGACATCACTGACAGACGGTGAAAGAAACATCGTGAGGAAACCCGGACATATAATTTCACAATTATACGTTTGAAATCACTAACCCTAATGCTCAAACCTTCTCCATGTAAGAAGAGGCTTTGCTTAGTAGATAGGCCGATGAGAAGGGGTTTAGGAAAGTGTTCGCAAAATACAGAATGAAGTTTTGACACGAGTATACGAATCCGTACCCTTTTGAATATCGCTTTTAAATCTCTAATTCAATTAGGCCATTATCTGAACTAGAAATGATGATTATTTATATTTAACTGTGCTCTCTTAATTTTTATTTAATATTCTCTTGAATTATGTTCAAGTATTAGGACAACATTTATTAATCTAAATAATTTAAACCATACGTTTGTGTACCATCAATAACAATTTAGATTTATATGAATTGTTCAAAATGTTTTTGTTGCATTTTCAGGTCATATCAATAAACGGTACTGACGTAGACGAAATGACCCACGAGCAAGTGGTTCAGACGATAAGAAATACAAAGGGAGTTCTAACGTTAATGGTTAAACCGAACGGTAAGGAGTGATTTATATAATTTTGTATCACTACGACCAAATTGTGTAGATCCTTATAATAAATATTTAAAAACTATCACATTGCGATCATGGCAGCGTTAGATCTGGTTTGTTTCTCAAAATCTGAGACTATCTTTTAGTAAAATAATCATTTTACTAATAAATCTTTATATATAAAAGAAAGTCGTGTTAGTTACAATAAATATAATTTGAAAACGGCTGTACGGGTTTGGCTGAAAATTGGTGGAGAGATAGCTTAGAACAAGCGAAAGCACACATATGATACTTTTCAACCGATTGAAAAAGAAAAATCAAATGATGATGATGATGATAATGATGATGGGCAATACCTTTTCCAGCTGTATACGAGCCAGAAGTGTGTGTGGAGGAGCCGGCCGCGTGCTTCGTGCCGCTCGGCGCCGGCACCTTCGAGGGTGATTTGCAGCAGTCCATGCTGCTGTTAGGAGACGGGCTGGCTTCTGGAGCAGCACTGCGGCAGTACGACGCGCTGCTGAGACGAGCGGCAGACAGACCCGCAGCCGCCGCACGACTACCTGCCAACCTGGCGAAAAACCGATATAGAGATATAGCTCCATGTTAGTATATTAATACTATTGGGATATTCAAGACTTAATTTATATAAGCGAGTTCTTGATGAGTTATAGTATTGTTATTGCTAGTTATAATGTATTTGAATCACGTAACTATAATATTACATTACTCTAACAGTCAATAAACAGTCCTATGTACGAGATATTTTTATATTATATACAGAGTCGTGCACTCTATAAATGCAAATTAGCACTGCTTTTCCTGCCCACACAACAACTATCACTACACTGTAACGGAATATGAATGTTTACAGACATTTAATATGTCATTTGAATCATGATTTGGTAGAATTGTTTAAATTGCCATCTATCAACGTATAAACTAACATTTTCGATCAGTCGCTGCTAACTGCTAGAGCCGCTATACAGCCAGAGCGGCGATATGCACAACCACTTAGTGCTTATTTTCCATACAAATAATCGCAAGGACGATCTACAAATCTCGTGTTGTATGCAGGAAATATTTGCATATGTGTGTGTGTGTGTTAATACTATGCATAGCAGAAATAAGTTATTTGATTTCCTAGTTTGGTGTTTTTTAATAATAATATTGACTATTTTGGATCTAAACTGGATATTCCAATTTAAATAACTTTCATAAAGCATTGACGAACAGATCGTAATAGTTTTAAGGTTCAGAGATAAATTTCTAAAATATATAGATATTAGTTCATGTTCCACTGCTGTAACTTTTTGTGCAAATATTATCAATGTTTTTGAGGAGGTAATTATTATGGATTTTTTTATAAAACAATCAACAGTTAACTTACTCCACTTCAAATCTCTGTGCTGTGTGCAAGACCCTGATTATATACATATGATATATAATTTTGTACACTTTTCAGATGATTCAAGTCGTGTGATATTAAAGAACGGTCCGAACGGCGACTACATCAACGCTTCATACATCAACATGGAAATACCTAACTCTGACTTAGTTCTGACATACATCGCAACTCAAGGTAACTATATAAATAAATATGAGAGATGATAAATAGCAGGACCAACTGACAGACATTCACAACCCGGCTGTCCGTGATTACGGTTGCTGAAAAGTAACCTCAACGTACAGAGATTTAGTTTTTACAATAATATAAAACACACGGTATAATCCCAAAAAAATGTTTCATTTAAATGAATACTTGCGAAAGTTTTAAAACTCATTATATTTCCAGGTCCGCTCGCGTCAACGGTTGGTGACTTCTGGCAAATGGTTTGGGAGAGTGAAAGCAGTTTGGTTGTCATGTTGACGGTACTAGTGGAGAGAGGGCGGGCCAAGTGTCACCAGTACTGGCCTAAAGTAGGGACCACGCTTAAAGCGACCAACTCATTGACAGTGGTCACCAACAGTGAACAGAACTTAGGACATTATACACAGAGGGAGATGAGTTTGAAGGTTTGTTTAATGATTTGTGGTGGTTTCGATGGCCTAGTGAGATTTTGCTTACAATTTTGATGATATTAGACATAGTTATAATAAATTATTGATGCAGAATCTACCAATGTATATAAAAGTGACTGTATTTATTATTGTTAACTAATTTAGATTTTTTGAAGTTTGTCCGCGTATTTTAAAACCTTCTGGGCTTTTAAGAACGTACAATAAAAAAAGTTATCTCAATTGGTACAGTAATTTTCAATGTATGCGCTTAACAACATCTAATTTTAATTATATAGATAGTCAAATCAAGAAAATGTACATAACCAATCCAGGCTAAACATTAATAATTACCAATCAATAAAAGACTATTTGCCAATTCACATAGTCCGAATCATACCAGACTAAGACTGATTCCAATTCCAGGATATCCAATGATGTAAGTATTTCCATTCCAGGATAGTAACGGCGCCAGTCGTGACGTCACTCAGCTCCAGTACACCGCGTGGCCCGACCACGGAGTACCCGACGACCATCAGCAGTTCATAAGCTTCGTGAGGCTGTGCTCGCAGCTGAGGAACCATCGAGCCGGTTAGATATACATATATAAATATTAGACTAGCTTTCCGCCCGCATCTTCGCCCGTGTGGAATTCGGTTATATCGCGTTTCCAATAGAACCTTTCAAAAGTCTGGGATAAAAACTATCCTATGTTCTTTTTCAAGGTCAACTCCACATCTGTACAAAATTTCATTAAAATCAGTTCAGTGGTTTAGGGGTGAAAGCATATTTTCCATTGTTAACGCTCCCGCAACCCCCTTGTGGGTTTAATTCTGTAAAATCCGTTCTTGGCTGACCTCTACTCGGCGAAAGGAATAATCTTACCAAATTTCAAGTCGCTACGCCTTATGGTTCCAGAGATATCATGACAATATATAGGTGGAAATCTCTTTTATATACAGGGTGACTGGTGAATTACTATCAATATTTAAGGAGAATACTCGGTACATGATTCTCATTCGAATTATGTAAAAAAAATAGGTGCTTAATTTTTGACCAAATTTCCGTATAAATAAATAAAGTGTGGACACGTTCCACGTGTTCCAAGTGTGGACGCGTGCGGCGGCGTGCTGATACAACACTACGCCGCCACACGCGTGTGTGTGTGTGTGTGTACCTAATCTGTAGGGTGTTCACACGATGCGTAATTAATTACATAACTGGTTAACTTTACTTAGAAGTTTATTTATATTTATGTTATATTAATTTTAATTTTGTCATATATGATCGTCAAATATCACGTCCTCAAATATTGATAGTAATTCACCAGTCACCCTGTATATATAGATAAATGTCTTGTGGCTGGCACGCGACTTAAAATATTTTGGCGTAGTGGGGACACGTATTGCTTATGTACACTTTTAGTGCGACAAAAAGTATATCAATAGTAAGGGCCCGTAGCTTGAGAAGATTTTAGTGTAATGTAGTTCTACAATATATTACAATTACTACGTGTCTACTCAAAGAACTCGTAATCCTAACTAAAATAATTGGTCCAATTTATGTGCTCGCTAGTGTACTTGGGGGCTAACATCCAAGACGGAAGGATTGTGTCATTTCCCCTCGTCGCAACATATTAATGATACGTAGAAAATGTTCTATTTATCTATAGTTTCTTGCCAAGTCACGTACGCCTACTTTATATACTTCAATTAATGTAATATGTCAACCCACTTTATAAAATGAGCATTTTTTTGCTAAAATAGATACACTTTTTAAAAATTACAAGAAAAATTCTGTTTAATATCTATTAATAATATATAGTTTATAATTTTCCAGTAATACCTACGGTAGTTGAAGAAATCTGTGGTCCGGAGAGAGTGTTGGAGCCGCCGATGATAGTGCATTGTTCAGCGGGCGTGGGGCGGACCGGGGCACTTATACTGGCGGAAACAGCGCTAGAACTATTGGCAAGAAGACAACCTCTATACCCGCTTGACTTAGTCAGAACCATGCGTACACAGAGACCCATGTGTATACAAAATGCGGTAAGACGATGCTCAAGATAGAGACAATTATCAATATGAATGAGACTTATACTGGATATATTGAATTCTCATTCTCAATAAAACACCACATAAAATTTATTTTTAAGAATACATAAGTGTCACGGAGTGTATGACAATTTTTAAAACACAATCATAACGAGATAATACTTTCGCACTATTTATTTATATAAAATTAATATTTATTGATTACTACGTGTTATTTTATTATTTTAGACTACATACTAGCCATATTTTGTAGTTTACAGCAACCGTGATAACGGGCGGATGAGATGAGATTTTTTTTGCTCACAATAGGCTGTAAGGAAATATAACGGTTGCTGTCAATGGCGGCTGTACCTTAAGTGCACTCGTGCGCTGAACCACCAATTCAAAAGATTTAAAATATTACGAAATATTATTTCATCTTTGTTTTTAAATTACCATTTTAATATTTATTTTTTAGCCATATAAAAACGTATAAAAAAATTAATTTCCTAAGTATGGTCAAAAAGTTTGAGCGCTTTAGTAAACTCATATCGTGCGCTTCGGCGAGCGCACGAGGACTGCTAATACATCTTGTATGAGATACGCATTAATACGCCTGACGCGTGAAACAAAAGATACTTCATAGAAATGTACCGAGTAATGAGTCGGTTCTCGAGCGCCGCACGAGCGGCCGAAGGTTACCGAGAGTAGCCGATGTAGGAAGAAATGAGCCGCCCGTTTTTGACATTTCGTTATTGCATTGTTGCATTTTCTAATTTTAATATTTTAGTAAAGTGCACCACCAGTTCGATAACCCACCAGCCGCCACTGGTTGCTGTAAAGTGGAAAACGAATGGAGTATGTAGTTAAAATAATAAAATAACGCGAAGTAATCAATAAATACTAACTTTATTTAAATGAATACTGCTACAGTCTTAAATCGCATTATGGTTAAGTGTGCTTTAAAAATTGTCATATGCACTCAGTGAGACTTAAGTATTCTTATAAAATAATTTTATGTGGTGTTGTATTGAGAATGAGAATATGATTAGTATCCCATGCCATTTACTTAGTACAATGTTGTATAATACACATAACTTATATTTCGGGCGTCTAGTATTGATTTATATACAAAGTGACCATCTGTGTAACTGGATGCAGTGAAAACACTGTTTTAAAACTATAATAATTAATTTTCCTCATGAACTATCAGTCGATTTAATAATTTAGATTAGAAAGTTATTTCCTTTGAATACTTAATTTTACTTGATTAGATTTATTATCTAAATATATAAAGAAAGATGTATGCTAGAGCTTTAATATTAATTTTAATTATTTTGTCCACAGAGTCAATATAAGTTCGTATGTGAGAGCATTCAATCTGCGTACGCGCAGGGTCTGACGGACGAAGATGGGGCCAATTGATGTCTAACACCGTCCTATTCGGACACTGTTTATACTAAAATAGGACATATTTGTACCACAGTAAGGTCGATGCTCCCTTGCCAGCCTTACACCGACTAACTTTAATACATTGTGATGTGAAATATAAATTATAAGTGAACATACGCCGTATACTGAAAATAAATAGTTGGATTTTATCATTTGTACATTATAGCAATTAGGTGCAATAGAATGTATAATATATTATTTAAATGTTCGTTTTCTATCATAGATCATATATTTGTGTGATAATAACTTTTGAAGTATCGATCATTAATCTCGAATAATGAAACATATCATAACAATAGCTTAAGATATTTATTTTTTTCTTATTTCTAAGGAAGACTTGCCTTGACACGAATTTAACGTTTCCTTTGTATATAAACTAACTGACTGTGCCATTATTTTTATTAACACCGTTATATTTCTAACTTATTTAGTTTGATGGTATGTAGATATTTTATAAGCAGTATTAATATGTAATATTTGATACACACATGTGTTCTGGGCTATGGGACCTTTATTGCCAGAATTGCCTAGTGGTAAGGTTATGACAAATAAAATCTAGTTTCTGAGAAATTTATACGTAATAATAATAATTTGTCCCTCATATATTTTTCGCAGTTTCGTAATTAATTCATATCTAGAACGATATTAGACTGATGAACATTAGACTGGTAGAAGTTGTAAATAACATCGAATTACAATTGAAATTAAAGGTTTGTGTAGAAGTGTGTGTAGACGGTAGTGGAACGTTTGAATTATATCTAAGTCAATAAACTAAAGTGATCCTTAATTGATGATAATAAGGTTTAAATTTCTTAAATTATTTATATTCTGTCTTCGTAGTCAATTTATATTGACCACTGTGTAATGTTAAGCGACAGTCCTCTAGGTCGTTTGGCTGATGGGTACATTGTATTTATATACAATACATCTTTGTGCCTACATCGTTTATGATTAATTAATTACAATTACAACTTACAATATATAAAAAAATTCGGAATCATAGCGTCTTGCAATTTTTTTACGATCTATCATTTGAATCAAAGGCCTTATTTAATTAATTTTCAGTATTATGTTAGAACGTATAATTTTTTAAATTTTACTCTAAAGATTAAACTAAAATTGGAATACATATTTCATTGCAAGGCGCTAAAATGCATGTTTGAAGTCTTAATACAAAACAATAATATCTAGTTGGTAGTGGTCAGAACTAATTATATCTGATAGTAACATTATTTAAGTTAAACTCAAACTATATTTTTGTTATTAATTTATTCTTTTTTTATATAAGAAATTTATTTTTTGTCATATAATTTTTTCCAGTCATAATTTTATATAATTTTTACTTTTACATACGTCACTCTTTGTTTCTTTATGTCTAATGATTTTTAATCATCTTAAATTTTTATGTTTTATTTAATCTTGCCAAAATGTAACAAAACTAATATAATCTCAGATGTATGTGTTCATCTACTTAACTAGTGTTATGCAAGAGGGAACAATTTATTGAAATTAATTTAAATCTTTGATTATAATTATTCCTTATTGCATAACGCCGGCCGGTCTAAGACCGCGAATGACTGACGTAGGGTAAGTTGGGTGTTTGGCAATAGTTTAAATAAGTTAGTTTTGATTCGTATGCGCTGAGAATTTCTTTGGATCAAAAAAACGTTGACCTCTCATGTTATATTATCAAACAAAAAATGACCTTATCTCTTTCAAAATAAAGAGTTAAATTTGTCCATTAAGAAATTCACGGCGTAATCGAATGAAACTGGTGTTACATTTTCTACCTAGTGATGTCTTTATACAGTGCTGTGCATATTTTTCTGTGACGAATAAAATTTTAACGAAAGTGTTGTTTTTATTGAAATAGAATACCGACTGTTGATACATAATTCATACACACTTTTAAAAAATTCTTCAAACGTACTTTTCAGTAGTTTCCAAAACCAAATTTTAAAAGTCTTCCTTATAACTAAATATACAGTTAATTATAATTTTACACTATGGATGCATCAAACGTCTATCTTATGATATTTCTGGTATGTCACTGTCAATTTAAGACTGACTGACGCTTCAGTACGAACTAGCACGTTACATTCCTGCAATTTGGCTAACTTGCTAGTGGTAGATTTGTATATCATTGTAAAAAAACTCGGAGAAAGAAAGTAATCATATTAAAATCATCATACACGTTGTTAAATATTATAATAATGTCTTGGAATATAATTCTTTTATTGTTTATATTAGAACTATAAAAATAAATACATATCAATAAAGTTAATATGTATAATGCAATATTTCGTCTCATGTATGTTTTGAAATCAAGTTCTAATTTTGGTACTTATTATCTACAAATTTCTGAAACTTTACTTCCATTAAAATTTGATATATTATTCTTTAATTAAACGTTCAATTATTGTTAGCTCTGTTTTATATCAATATTTCTTAGTATTATTAAGCAAAGCCTCATGTTATAAAACTTTCTATAGCATTTGAAGCATTGAAGAAGAACAAATGAAACATTTTCTATTTTAGGAATTGAAACTGTTTAAATTTCAACGTCCATTTAGCTATCATAAAAAGTATTTGTCTAATACACAAGAAGCTTCTTCAATAATTTACGGTAGTTAAATGGGGGATAAATTATCGTAGAAGCTTGTCTGGTTTTTAGCGTAAAGATTATTTTCGATAAATGAAGTTTTTGGAATGTACCTAATATGAAATGGAGGTCCTCAAAAAGATTTTCTAGAAACTTCGTCATTGTGAAATACAAGTTCAACTATAGTAACTTCTATAATAGTGTACGTATAGAATAACTAACGATTTTTATCAAGATATCTTGTTATTACACTACTATACCCTACAAAGAAATTTTGGTATATATAAACAAAGTTTGAATGTAGGAAGAAAAATAATCATTTACATATGATTATTTTATATATTCTTAATTAAAAAAAAACTATTTTTCTATCTAACCCATGACAGAGGAATAATCCGACCTACTTTTATTAGAATAATATCGGTACAGACGAACAACATCCTATTTAAAGGTAATGGTTTAACATAATAAAATATTTATTACCCTCTCAATATTTTGTTCTGTACATTTTATCCTCATACAAATATATAAAAAGTCTGGAGATACGAAAATTTCAAAGCGAACCAACAAAATTCAACCTTGTACAATATCATAAAAAAAACATTTTTACATTACAAGAGGTCGAAAGTACGCGACATTAATTTGTTTTACCATGAAATCGATTAATGAAGTGTATTAAAGACTTAATACATATAAGTATCTCTGTATGAATATTACAATATCCTTTGTAATTTCTATTGAACATTAATTTATAATTATATTAATGTATTAATAGTTGTTATCCAGGGCTTGTTTAGCTCCTGCCTCCTAGCTATCGGGTCCAGTACATCGCTGTACCTCGTGGGCGGCTGAACGTCATTCTGTTAAAACTCCCGCTCGCGTCGAACGTGCGATCGAAAACATCGCGATGTGTATCTTAGATAGAACTTTTATAATGAAGTGCCCGAAAATGTGTCCGTTTGTGTGTTTATAAACTGTTAGTGTTGTTATTCGTTGGTTGGATAATTTCTTCGATGTTTTCTATATTCTATACAAGAAATAAAAAGCTTTGGTATTATTTTAAAGCCATTAAATACATTTTCATAATCTTTAATAATTTCTTTTATATTTTATAAACATCAATATAAAGTAGCCATACATTTTTAAATTCAGATTTTTTTATTCAGAAAAAATATTATATACATAAAACTATCTACTTTACTGACTTTTTTCACTTTCGATATGATATGAAAGAGAAAAAAGCTGGTTCTTAAACTTACATTTTGTTCTTCATAATTGTTTATTTATGTAACGACATCCTTGTGATCAATAATAATTCAAAATTTCATTGTAAATCTCAAATGTCTTACCAATTAGGTACAACAGTAATATATTTTCATTAGTAAATACTACAAATTTAAGAAAAACAATTGTCTTCATATTCTTAAAACGTTATTCTAGTTCTTATGAATGGAGAATCGAATTTCTAAAGTTGTATTAAATGTTAAATACTTAATTTTGTTAAGAAAGTTTTGAATAACTGCTCATTTGATACTTAATTATTACCCACCTTTTATTAAGCCAATATACTCGTACTAATATTTATATCATGTTAATTTTCACCATCGCCTTTGTTGTTTTACATAATAACAAATTCGAAACTTGTTGAAAAAATATAACACATTTCAGTTCTCAAACAGGTAGGGGAAATTTTGTTATGGAAATTAAATTCAGGTCAAATAGCAATAGAAGTTATACAGTTACGAACAAACTTTGAAAAATATTCCTTAACTATGTAAATATAGCTTTTCATGATAAACTAGGTACTTAGTGTAGTATTTCCATAAAATAATTGTGTAGCCACGTAACTACTGTATTTTTGATACATAAGTATGTTGTATAACAATTCTTATATCTTACAATTGCTAGTTAAAAATAACATTTATTAAGTGTATATGTATAAGTGTACATTTATTAAGATATGTATGATATATAGCAAGCAAACTTTAAGACTTCGAAAACTATATATTTGAGTTTCAAAATTGGGTTTTAATACAAAGGCTTATAATATATAAATTAAACGAAACGAGAAACCAAAATATAGAAATATGTAATTAAAATTTAATTTGATAAAAGTAATTCCATTAAACGTTATTTAAACATTCTCAAATACAAAGCAAACATTAGATTGTGTTTTCAACCGTTTTTATTAGGCGACCACTTTAATACGAAAAAATATTCCACAACCTCTACTCTATCCTTTAATTTTTTATAAGTTAATTTATTATTTTCCTTTATTGAAACTAATGTTAAGACGAGAGAAATCTCATTAGCTGTATATTGTTGTTGTTCAGACGAGTGGTTTATTCAGTAAATTCATATTTCTCCAAAAAAATATATAAATTTTTCTTCGTCTTTCATATAATGTTTCTACCAAATTATTTCACCAATCTGAGCTAAGGAGGTTTCAAGTCGCCAGGGGTCGTGACCCACACTTTAAAACACTACAATGGAACATTCACAGAATTTTCCATAACTCCATACATACACATATTGTGTATGTAATACAATAATAAGAGAATCTTCGCCCACGAACTCATGAATATTACATACTTGAAGCCAGAGAATTATTAAGATTTATCAAATCAAGTAATATTTGAAATAGATTGAATATTAAGAAAGGAAGTCATAACTTCTTGTTCTTAATAATTATATTAATTAGGTTTATTTTATTTTCTACTCCACTTTATTAAATGAAACCTGATATAGAGGAAGAAGTTGTACCTAAAGAAACAATTATGTTGATTGAATCCCATGGAAAAATCCACGATCAAATAAAAAAATAATATTTTCTCATATTATGTAACAAAATGATAAAGGCTTTACTTATTTCAAAAATTATTACACGCGATGAATCATTTATATATACCTAATTTAGGATTCACGTAATAAAGTAAGAATTATTTATGCGTAATATTTATTTATCATATCACGTAGTAAGGCGCGTGTCAATTTTAACACATAATTCACATTTGCAAAATAACGTGGTTACAATATTTTTTTCCCTTAACAAGATGTTGCCGGCGAATTCGTTACCGTGTCAATGTAAAAGTGTATTTATAGCTTCCTTATAAGCAACCCCACTTATGGAGATATATGATAGATAATATTTTATCCAAGAGATTCTAATAATTAAAAATATATAATACAGTCAAACTTGCTATTATTAATATCTATGTTTAAATTATAAATCGTTTTTAATCTACGTAATACATTACGTAAAGTAAACACGGAAACTAGAATAAAATTTAATAAGATTATAAACCTGAAATATATTACTCAAATTTCTTTACAGAATATAGAACAGGTTAATATGTTATGGAATAAAATGAATCTTAGGGAACATAGTTTTTATAAAAGGAATTAAAAAAATGTTCATCCAACATTATCTTAATTAAATTTTGCTTTTAAAATAAATCAATTACCAGCCAACAATATAAAGTTGCCGTAATTAAGATGTACGAGTATTGGTTCATTCTCGAATTTGTTATAAAAGTTACTCCTTACATATATAGAAATTAAAAATTATACAAAATTAATGGAACAGTGCAATGAAATAAGTGTTATATATATAAAGTGTTGTGAACTTACAATGTTGATATGGAATTCAATGAGTGTGATCATTTTACTGTCAGGACCCAGTGTAACAGCGGACACTCTGGTCACTGGAATTAAAACAATTTTGAGGGAATATATTGGACGGTCAACTACCTCTGGACAAACCTCGACTTTGACCGAATCAGGCTTCTTTGAAACCACGACGTTACATGAAGAATCCACTCAAGATTCCTTAGATGTAAGTAATTGATATGAAAACTACTCAAACAAGTACTGTATGAAATAAATTTTAGATGTTCTATTTAGATTTGTTGACTAATTGATTTCAATGTTAGTAAAAATCGTTGGGTAAACACTTTAAAAACATAATGTCGGATTACTCCATAAATACATGTATGTAGTTTCCAAACTCTTTATCTTTTATGTAACTCAAAGTGATACTCAAAATTAAAGTTGCTAAAATATATCATAGAACATATACTTAAGTATAATCATAGTTTTCTTTATAAACCTTTGAGTTATTTACAGGTCTAAATCGCTCTATTAAGCCAGATGAAAGATGTATATATAATCTTAAATACAATAAGTGTTCGCAAAATATATTTTTGTTTTCCATTCTTACTTAATTTAATTGAATACGCCTAATTTATAAAACACTACCGTAAATAAATAATACTGTTATCTTTATATATCTTATTATTAAAAGATAAATATGGAAATGTATGAGACATAGATATTGAAGTTAACGTTATCTTTTGGTGAATTATCGATATATTTAGTCAATCATTGTTTGGAATCATTCAATAGTTAGCTAGTAGTGTACTGACTTTATATTCAGTGCCAAGACTTTATGATATCTCCGATATTTCTTTATCTTCTTGCGATGTGAACTTATAAAATGTGTGTCAATTGTTTTGTGTTAGTGTATTTTTACGTTGTGCATTCTGTATTATGTCAACGTCACTTTGATAATAATGAAGGGATCCATATGATGCGTCCCCAATCGCGATCTTCAGTGAGTAGCGACTTTTTTACACAAATAATATTATTATCCATATTTTTTAGCATCTTTTAGTAGATAAGTAACACCTTAATATGATATATGTATTATTATTTGCATTGATTTTCATATTTTTCGAAAGTTACACGAAAAAATAAGAGCAAAACATTTTACGAATTTGTGTAAATTACGACGTAATTTCGTTTAGTTAACGCATCGAATGTTTATCGATGGTGAGGCAATTATATCTTTTATTCATTGTCAATTTTCCTTATAGGAGTGGTCAGGAAATTTGAGTCATGTTTTTTATTAGTCAATGCTCTAAACAAGGAGTCGTTTTGTATTTTTACATGAAATACTTTAATAGTTTGGTATTATTTTGTATTACATTATCGGTTTGTATTATAGCGACAGACGGTTGGAGATATTAGATTGATAAATATACAATTTATAAATTCAATATACTTAATTATCTCTTTAAACTTATGAAATATTTTTAGTAAAAATTATTCGGGACTTCTTTACATGTCGACCAATTTTAATACAAATCTTATCTTTGTTTTCCTAAATTTACATACGATTATTAATTTACTTTATAATTACGAATGATGAAAATCCTAATAATTGACAAAGTAATGTCATTTCAGTATCTTAGTTAGATATCTTAGTTAGTTATGTCATTAGTTTTAACTCACTCGTGAACTAGAAGTCACAAGATTCGAACAGAGATTTACTTATTGTGTTTAAAGAGTATGTTTTTTTCGTCACTAATAAATCACAAATGAATTTTTTATGTGAAAATTAATAGTTTTCAATAAATACTATTAAAGGAAGTACATTTTTGTTCGTAAGATAAATCCGAAATGGAACTAATATAATTTTGAAAGTAAAACAAAAAAAATATTTTTGAGTTTGGTGTAAGGGAGAATTAGATTGTTCCGCAGTCTAATCTTTTAATGAATAAGTCTACATTTTATGAATAAACACAAACATTATCATACGTATTAATTAATTATCAGTATCGTAATAATCTATAACACGATAATTAATAGAAAAAGATTATGATTCACAATTCACAATTACGAGATGTGAAAAATATCGCTGACTAGACCTAAAACTAGTTTTTATTATTTTTGACTTTAATATCATTTATTGAGCTATATTGTCTTTTGATTTGAGTGTGTCTTAACAAAGCTATCTTCTAACTTGAGAATTTATCTGATACATTGAGTAGTTAAAGACGTTAGATTATTTAACAACTTATTTTCATAAATATTTGTTCAAGAACTTAAAATTTTGAAAGCTTTGTTCATCAAAAAGTTGTAAATCTAATCTCCTGATCTTCTAATCTAATGTTGTTGACCTTGAAATAATTGTCGAATTATTCATATTGATCGAATCATTGGTATCTTGTATTAAATTTTGATTAGAAATTTCCCTTTGGATTTATATTTGATAAATACTTCCTTTAAGTTTTATATGAATATTCTACTATCGTGTTTTTGTTTGGTTTTTGCGCTAACTTTGTCGATGCATCGATTATTCCAATCACATATTCATGTTTCCGCGTTAGACAACCTGAACCATCTACATATATGAGTTTCGTTAATCGAGATAGTAATCTTAACTATGGGATACATTTATATCTCTTGGTCTTTTGTTTGTTTTGTAAATAGCGAAACCATTAGTACATGGCCTTGCAGTTGTTGAAATTTCAGTTAACCAACACTTTTCGAATTTTTGCGAGTGTTTTTTTCACCGAAAGTGCTTAGTAGAAGTATGGTCACCATTAATAATGATATGACTTTGGAACTACCTTTTTTCTATTATTTTTATACTGGTTTTTATTTGTCCTATTTGCCGTCTAAAATAAGGTCATATAGGCAGTAAACAATTGTCACTTTGCCACTTTCCAGTTTCGTAATTAACATAAAAAAATCGACATCACCAGGAAGTGTACAGGATACACTTTTAAAAATCCATATTTTGAATTAAGTTAATACAAAATATATAACATTTCTAATGCTGTAATCTGGATATCCGGTATTGTAAAAATTACTAGCATCTGTGAAAAATTCGATAGAACTTTATTTATGAGGTGTTAATTTTTTAGCGTTACAGTCTTTGATTATAACAAAATGTTTTTTACAGCTGGTCAGAAATTTACACCAAAATACAGACTTTAGAAGTTTTGATCTTAATCTTTATTGGTGATTCACATGATCTACATTCTTGAAACCTTGAAGTAGATGCGACTGAAATTAATTCAGGAGCAGTCGCACATTAACTTCATAGAAACCATTTCTATCACTGTCACTGCTTCAACTACGTCCCTCTTTTATCTTAATTTATTACACATTTCAAGATTTACCAGGCCTTTGTTATGATTTGGAAACTGAAGCAAAATAAATTGTTATTTTGCTTCAGTTTCCAATGTTAGTACTACACCTTCTCGCATATTTTTCTATACTGATGATTTAACAAACAATGTTACCCCAATGGTTTTAAATGGATCTGCATTTAGTAATTTAATAATAATTTAAAATTTTAGTGCAAATTTTGTATTTGCAATCCCTTATTTGTTCTCCTTCTTCTACCTGGCAATTCTTACCTTCTCCTACCCAGCTATAGCCAGGGTCTGCCTTACATGTTGTGAATAGTTTTGGCTAACTGTTTTTACGACCGGCCGCCTGTCTTACATCAACCCTCTTTGGGAATGCATTAATTAGTGATGTCTAAATACTCTTAGAAAGTACATATGACTTTGGTACTTGCCAGGGCCAGGATCGAACCAACGCGCTCATGCATGAGAGGCGGACCTTTTAACCATTAGGCCACCACTGACTATATCAATCAGTCCTTTACATATTTGTCCTGTTTTAATTAAAAGAGATACTGTAGAAATCGCACTTTTTGGCCGAAAATATCTGCCAAATCTTGACAACTTCTAATGTTTGTGCAAGGTTGGAGTTTGGACGAAAAAAAATCATTACGAAATAACATTCGTAAGTTATTCATCTGTAATATACAGTATAATAACAGCCTATTTACACTTTTCTTGAAGAAGCCTAAATAAAAACTCGAATCAAAAACAGACGCAAGCGAACTATATAATAATGTAACTACAATTAAAACACTATGCATAATCCATATCACGACGTCGATTGGAGGCTTCTTGTTAGAAAACAGTTGATAAGCTTTCCGTAAGGTAAAACGAAGTATTGGTTAAAGTCCACGGAATTCACTAAGCTATTTGAACGATACAAGACATGTTTGGATAGTTATAGAGAGATAGTTGGTTATTAAAAAGTAATGACCAAAGATTGGATGGACTTTTTATAGTATTTCATAGTATACTATGTCATAAATTTGGATTAATTAACTTGTTTTCGTGACACTTTTATATCACCCCGTACTGTCGTCTATCATACCTATATCTCAATAAAGTCGATTGAAGGGTGAGGTTAAAATGAAAGCGCCTTCCAGAACCAAAAAAGCCAATACTGGCATCAGGTAAAACTAAGCTATTAATGGTACTCCACGGTATAAGTGAGTTTGGATTAGTGATTGACAGACGTCAAACATCTGAATCAATATTTATAATCTCGTCTGCTCGTGATCAAGGTTGCTGAAAAGTAACCGAAACGTCGGGACTATGTAATTTTAAAATAATAACATACACGTATGTAGTAAGCCGAATAATATTAGTTCTATTTAAATGAATACTCGCGAAATTTTTAGATCTCAACAGTATTTATTATTAAATCCGTAGTCTCTCTGGCTATCTTTCATATAATAGTTTTCCTATGTTAGTAAATTTCAATGTCTACGAGTGAACTGTGGTTTTCCAATATACTACGTGATTTATTGTACGTACATATTACTCATACCGAAACATTCCTAAATAATGACGTCGGATAAAATTTACTTTAAAATCGCTTCGTAAATACTAAAATCATATTTTAATTCGAATGGATTCTTATGAAAATTTATATTATGTGAAAAATGTTTAACTCTAATAATGGCTTCAAAAAAACACGCTACCTTTTTTACTACACCTATTTACATTATACTAGACATATTTTATTTTTACCGGTTTATTATATTTTCGTATCCATAAATAACCTCTTATTATTGACTAAAGGAATGTATGTTTCAAACAAACTTTCTCATAATAATAAATTTCACTTTTTATAAAATATACAGGTGTCGACAAGCAATCTACTGTAGAAGTTTTTAAGTGCATTCAATTATCCTACTATCTTCAATGTACAGAACATTTAATCAAGATTCTTTATAATATCTTGTGATTTCACCATCACAAACGTAGGTGATCGCCCACTGCTCGACGTAAGTCTGTTTTGTATGACTAGACACGTGTGTTAAATAAAATTCAAATTAGTTCGGCAACTTACCTTATACATACTGTAGTTACACTCTTTAAGATGGATCGTATAGCTCTGGTTTAGAGGTACTATTAAGAAGGGAACGCCATAGTTTTGTTTATTGAAATATTGTTAATTATCTTTATGGACATTTAAATACATTTCACTGAGAGCCAGTAATATATTGCTTTGACAAAGTACCTCTTAAGGGATAATTAGTGGAAAGCATCAGCGTATGACGCTGCGTCAACGTCAAGAATTCTATGCGTGACTCTTATCATGTACGTACGAGTACGAGTATATACATATATAAGGGGATATCAACTTGAGTTGACACATTTAATTTGACAACAAAGAATAATTAAACGGAGATATTAATGGAGTTTACTAGATTTTAAAAAGAAGCAATTATTATTCTTAGTTACATTTTTTTTCTTCGTAACTATGTGTTTTCCAATGAACACCCCATATATGTATAAATGCAGCTAACGTTCATTTATCGTATTTTGTATTTTTCGCCACACAAATTATGTTTTGAAAGGAAATAACAAAACTAAGCTTTGGAACCAAAATATCACTATATTTTATTTATCTAGTAGTTACCTTTTCAGTGCCAGTCACGTACATAACTAAATAAACTTTCTAAATAATTTCACAAATCAGAATTTGTTCCTATTTAAATCACTCAAAGCCATAAGCCATAGTCTTGAAGCTGATCATGAAATTTCAATTTAATAATTTACATTCAAACGTTTAATAAATATTGGCTCTTCATGTCATTCATAATATTAATTTACGTAATACACCAATTCAAAACTAAGTCTTAAATGTATTTTGAAATGGACTAAATAAAACTCAGTGGAGCGGAAATCTTAAAGTATTATAAAATCGAATGCTTTGAATTATTATTGGAAACTTTGATTAAGTTCGTCGAATCGTTTACTCAATTAATGGTATTAGCGATCTCTAGTTATTAGTACCTACAGAAGTGTGAAATTATTATACGAAAAGAATTTGGATATTTAATTAATAAACATTCTATCTTCACAGACCGTCATGACTGTTATATTTCTGTTATTTTTCAGTCGGTTCACGTCAGTTGGTTTTTCATTATTTTTGGTAGTTTGGAAAAACATAAGAGTCTATTTATAGAAACTTTTACGATGCGAAAATAGTTCTCTATCGTGAAATTGTTTCTAAATAAACTGTTTGCAGCTAAAGACTAACTACAATAAATTACACATATTTGATACAAATGATTAAGATCATTATTAAAAATTGTAATAATTACATTATGTAACATGATTCTCATCTTTATGTTCTAAAAAAATATGTTGCTTTAAACATTATTTGTTAAATATTTTGACCGTATCTCTATAAAACTGGCAACTATATTTTTAAAACAACTATTGTCTGAGTTTATCTTAAAAATAGATTCGGTTTAAAATTTATTAACGTTTCTAAATCATCGTGGCCATAAAGTAGACAATAAAGCGTTTAACTCAGCGATTTGAATGTAATGAATTTTCCTTACTTTTCAGGATAGTACAAGAGATTTATCAGAGTTGTATCCAGTACAGCATGCGATGTTGCCTCGTGGGGTGTCGGTAGTACCTCTACCTCTTGTGGGATCTGACCATGAGCTCATGTTTAATGTCTCCTGGAATCCTCCCATAGGTAAGTACGTAGAATAGTTCCTTAAGAGCAAATATTTACTTAAACCGGATTTATAACAATGAAAAAATGTTTCTGGCGAACTATTGACTAGCATTTTTTAATAGTTTAAAAATTTGTTTTCTTGATATACGGTGATTAAAGTTTTTTAAGTTTCTATTCGTTTATAGCAGAGAAGGGTCAGTCTTATGACATCTGAAATAGCAAAATCGTTGATAAAGGAAAAGTCAGAAACAAGTTTTATTAATTTATTTAATTAATATATTTTTAAATAAAATATAAACAGAGCATTTAATCTCATTATTGTATATAGTTACATACAGGTATATTTTTTTTTTGTAATAATACATAAGTTGTTGTCTTTCTTTATGTTTCGAAATTAATTTCGTGTAAAAATACAGTTCAGAAGTACAAATGCTACTTGTACCTTGTTCAAGGTATTGACCAGATCATTATAAAAATATCAAATTATTTATATTTTTATAATGATGAACCCTTTTAAATTCGAATACAAATATTTATAAAACTGCTGTAATGCTATAATCTTACCTCTTTTTCGAAGCAAAGGTTATTTTCCATTTATCTAATTATGTAACATTTGACTGTAGGTAAACCTTTAAAAGATATTTCGATACGTAGGACAACCTTTTTGGATGAACAGTTTTTCATACACGTCCAAATTATATTAAGACTTGTAAACACGATGAAAAGATTTCCTGGATAGTAATATCCTTTCAATTTATCCTAATTACGTCAAGAATTAAATGTTTTATAGAAAATATTGAGAAGTTTATAATATTGTACATATTTTTCGATCTTTAGAATACATTATGTAGGACAAAAATATTTCAGTTTCACCTAAAGAAAGTGGAAACCATTTGTGGGATCAAACAACCCTGGTATCAGATCGTGTTAAACTAACAAGAAATTTGAAAAAATGTTATTGTAATTCTTTTTATGCATGATACTAATATTCTGCACAGAATAATTTTCAGGAGCTTCTAAAAGATAATTTAAAATTAAATTTATTATGAAAACCAAAACGGCTCCTTTTTAATAATATATTGTATGTTAGGCACTCAAATCTGAAATCACCATATTATCTTGATTGGCTTTAACTGATTAACAGTTCAAAATGAAATAGCTTCTATTCTCTTGATTCCCAGTGATCCTAGTGATTATTTCTTAAACTACAGAAAACCAAAAAATTGGAAACAGACAAAATATCAACGAGTTGAAGAAAAAAACTTATGACATTAGCCGTCTTTAAATATATCCTTCACTAATAACAAGAGAAGGTAATTTAAGGTAACAAAATCTAGCGATGTAAGATCCTATTACTCCACATGTAGCTGAATGATCGTATATAAAATATTCGTCAGTAGGTATATGTATAGTTTCAATTAGAAAAGACATCGGTATGTTTTATTCAATTTTTTTAACTTTATCTCCTCGTTTGAAAGCGTCTGTAGTTTCAAAAATGTTCAGACACGTCTGTGTGGGCGTGTATTTGTGAGTTGGTAAGTTTAAACGCGATCTTGTAAGTAAAATTGTAAACATAATAAAATTTTACATTGTGAATCAGAGAAACGCCTCATGTATTTATTTAATATTTTCCATAAATAACTGTAGTCTTTGAAAATAATCAGCTTACTATATAAGAATGGCTTACTGTCAATGTTCGAGTTATTATATCCTAATAGGGGATTACGCTTAGAAATACTTTTATACTTTTTCTTTATTTTTGCACTATGATACTATATTAAGAGTAAAACATTTGTTGGGGAAGTACGAATTTAGAATATATTTTTAAAATTTTGTATAAAAGATTATTTATAATATCCATAATTACAATTCTTGGGGGCGAAGAAGATAACTTTGTACATCAAAACTTCTGGCTTTTTTCATTTAGTTAAATATATCTCAAAAGCTCTTAAAAAATATTTATTATTTAATTAAAGCATTAGGTTATCGTATGGCTTTTCATTCGGACTGAGGGTAGTACTTATCCTTTCCAAGTATTACCTCTCATCTCAAAATAAAACACATATTTTAATTATAGAAATCTTTAGTATAATTTGTCTTGTAAGTGGCAATATTCAATATTTTTTTTATGGATAAAGGGTCATTCAATTCATCATTAAAGATATTTCTTTATGTTGAAGTTTCATCATTATTAGAAGCAGGTTATCAAGGGACTATTCAGGGTCAATTTCGTTTTTACGTCTCTTTTAGATAGTACATACATATAAAAAGTTTTTTCAATATAATATATCTTCCGAAGTTTTGTAGTTTTTCTTATACGCTCTAGTATCGGCTATTGGCAAAGATATACATATTTGTCAAAGTATCTTCTGGCTGATAAAAGAAGCAATAACAGTGCCAGATTTAAACTGCCATAAAACCAGTTACCTGGTTTTATGGCAGACGATAACCATATACAACCTCAAAGTCTTATCCCCAATGGGATGGGACCTCTAACGACTGTCTGTAAGTCTGTATAGGCTTCCACCCAATCACGAGCTTCAGAGTGAAAGGCGTATAGACATACAAATCAGCAGATTCAGATAAATGCGACAGTTATTTGCAACTTACCCCTGGCTGCAGTTTTGCTTCTCTACTAAAGCTTCATCCAAATGGGAGGACGCTGTTACTGATAAAATACGTTAGTTATACGTCATATATCAGTATTACGTCATATACTTCGTTAGTATTACGCACGGGATTCATTCAAAGTGGACTGAGAGTCCTCGCTATTTCGATATAACTGAATATGTTCTCTATTTCCACGTTAGTAGATGCTTCTGCGATCGATCGACTATTGTTTCAGTGTGTGTATTCAAGTAGGAAAAGAAGCATCATGACAGACAGCCTCAATAGCAAACAAATCCTATTCTGCTTAAGCAAGAACAACTTTTGCCCTAGCATCAGAATGAGCCTGAGCTATGTCCAGAAAGAAATCTTGGAATGTAGCTGCATTAACTTATTGAATTATAAAGCAAAAATCCAAGGAATTTCGTTTTCATATCCTTGAGAAAATGGGAGACGGCATTTCTCTTTATCGATTCGCATATTAATATTTTATACATATATGTAAATTACACTGACCCATATATCGATATTTGTGCTTAATTGCAACTTCAGCCATATATATACAAAATATAAAGTTGTTGTAGTTATAAATATTATGACGATACGTTCAAATTTTTAAATCATTATATCTCAAAAATCACGGTTCTTAGGAAAAAAGTATTTAGTCATCTTTCATGTATAATTATTAGATCTACAAATTTTGTCTGTTTTATTTGTATAATAAAATTTATCGTTTTGTTGAAAATCTCGAAAACCCGATATTTGACCTTAGACCTTGAGTAAATATTTTACCGGAGCCGGATCGATGAGTACTTTTCACATTTCATTTATGATAATATTTTGAATGATCTTATTAATTTTCAGTTTTTTCGTATCCGTACCTACCTATTTCAATTTTTCCCTATTTTTGGTCTATGTGGACTACACTAGTTATTGAGCAGTACTAACTTTCAATTCATTTTCATAGCGTAAATCTATTATTAGATTCCTTTAATTTTTCTCTACGATTAATTCTTTGTTACATTAATTCAATTAATTACAATATTATGTGAACATTCTATTGTTTTGGAAAATGAACTTTACACATTTGTCTTATTCACAACCACTCTAATTCCAAACATTGTCTCGTGCAGAAAAACTTCAAAATTCAGATGCTCACAGTTTTTTCTTGGATTTATATTACAAATTTATTCTTAAATATATACATATGTATTACGAATAAAATATATAGTAAAAATCAATAGTTTTACGTGATTCAATAAGAAATACACACACATACACACTTCAACATTTTTAATATCATAAGGATGATAATTTCATTAGTAATGTTAAATCGATCACTCTTCGGCTATGTGTGGGTGCTATCTGATAAGTAATCAATTATATTAAAACCGTGAATTCCTAACTTGTAATTACTTACAACTACTGATAACGACGTAATAAAAAAGTACATTTAGGAAATATTATTAAATTATATAAGCTTTGTGTTATTTTAGAACATACCTATACTTACCATCTTTTGTTATGATAAAGAATCGAAAAGAAATGTTATAAAGTTAGAACAGAAATAACAAAATTTAATATCAGAGGAAAAAGTTCTTATTTTCTTTGAAAGAATTGAATTATTATTTTTATATTTCAGTTGGCAAAAATATATTTTAGTGTCTTTTATAGTGTTATTTAAACATTTGATTGACTTATTACATTTGTCTGGAAAGATCTTAAAAGCGTCTTATGTGACAAGCTGAATTTATTGTCACCAGTGATGAGCTTGATATAGTACGTATTTGTGTCAGAAACTATTTAGGAAAAGGAAAATCCTTATCCTTTAGGAAATAGTCGCATGCAGGTACCGAAAAGATCAGAACTTAGTATGAACGTTGCCGGTAAATAAAAAAAAACTGTTAATTCGTATCTGTATATAGAACCCAAATTCATAAAATCACTCACACTAATAATACGTATATATTAAACTTAAGTGATTTCAATTTGCTTTTCCTTCTCTTATAAAATCTGGTTACTTTTAAAATATGTTTTTATTGTTATAACAATGTTAATTCCGAAACTGATATTATTTGGTATTCGGTATCTGTTATTTCATAAACAATTATACGATTTTCTTTGTTTTTAAGAGTTCTCGATAAATTGTCTGGAGGTCTAACAATTGCGAATGATTTTCTTAGTTTTCTCTGTTATTATCGCTAACAAATATCTAGATACTACCATTTCCAGGAAGATTTTCTTTAACAATGTCATCAATAAAGGTGAACATAGTGACTTAATGTTTCGCCTTCAGTGACCATTAAAATACTCATTCATATTAATAAAATACAAGATCGTTCTTTAGGCATTTTCAAATGATTATATTGGTAATTAATTTATTTGTTTCAGGTCCGCCAGTAAGAGAATATTCACTAGAAGTTCACAGCGTAACAGACACAGTAGACTGTCGTTCTAATATGTGCTATGAGTACAACATTCCCGGTGTAAGTTAAATACATATATAAAACAAAACTCAATCTATATATAAAAATAGATTTCAAATAAGAGGATTATATGTGTTAGAATATGTCTGTGAATGATATTAAATAATAACATTATGCCTTTTATTCTAACGAATCTAAATCACATGAATGGAATTATGAAAGAAAATTTTAAAAAACCATTTTAAAAACAAACGTAACCCTCGATTAAACACAAAATATTTTGATATTGAAGCTACTTCTGTTGTTATAGGATTCATTATGGAGTTTAATACCCACCGTATCAAGTCCGGTGGCAGAGGACTGTGCGGTGAGGCCAGGGTGCGCTTATAAAGTGAAGTTGGTAGCCCATCCCTGGGATGGTCACACTGCTGCCAACCTGAATGTCGAACTCGATGGTAAGTTGGCAATAGTATCGATAAAAGAGTCTTGATAGTTATTAATAAAAAAAAATTTATTTTTCGATTAAAGTCAAACTACTTTTGTTTTAAGTATCTCTAGGATTCCGACCCACAAATTTTTGTTGGGGAATATAATGCTGAAATTCCCTTTTGTTTTGTTCAACATATGAAAATAATGTGTACAAAATTCCCATCTCCCACGATCGTATAACTAATTCATAATGATCAATCAAACTTTATTCCATCAATATTAAAACTAGCAACGAGTAAAACTAAGCAGACTTCAAAAACATTATGGTTATTTTTTAGTGAATAGCACACACTATGAACAATACATCATACTATAAATATTGTTCTGATATAATGAAAAATTCAACATTAATTTCAAACGAGTAAGATGCTTTTGAAGTTTTCGTGATTTTATTTAGATAATCCTCAATATGAATCCGTACAAACTAAATTTTTAATAAGTGAAGACGACTTAAGTATAAAAATATATACGCTATATAAACCTTAAATTGTCCAACTTTGAGTATATTTTACCACTTCAACCGTGGAGTTATATTTTTGTAATACAAAAAATGTTTTACAAAATCATATCAATAGTGACAATAATTTCATACGTATGTATGTACATATTCCTATTTTGTATTGTTCAGACATTGAAAATAATAATGAAAAGAGTAGAAAGTTACTACTTTCTTCATAAGTGATGTAAAATAATATGGTTTTAGGCGACACAACTATACATTTTAGTAGCATATAACAAATTTTATATATATTATAAAAACATAAAATATAACTATAAAATTAAATAGAAAAATAATTAAAAAAATCTTTTTTTCAACTCAAAGGCTTGTGTTAGTGAAATGAATTTATTTTGTCTGAATAGAACTACTTGAAATAAAGAAATTTCGAATTAATCAAGATTTACAATATTTAAGTATTGATCGAAAATCATCGGTTCATTAACAAATTTCGTAACCACACTTTTTGAATGTCAAGCACGTAAAATATTGTTAAGTCATTTGTGATATCTATGACTTATAAGTGGATTTAATTAAATGTGTCACTGTCGCCCACACTATCTCGTTATATCTATAGATACTATGTAATGTTAAGGTTATATTAGTTATATTAATTTTTGTTATAAATAAATTATAACGCGCTTATGTAAGTCTTGAGGATAAAAAAATCATTTAAAAACTACGAGGCGCTTAGGAGAGGTCAATATGTTGATTAGAGATTTGTGCTAGGTATTTAAATGTAAAATTTTAATTCTTATTATATTTCTTTTGCGCAATAAATATTATAGTGACAAATACCAGAAAGGTTAGAGTTATATATTTTTACGACTCAACTTTAAGACAGGTTTTAAGATAATAAGTTCCTATAAGTAAAACATTTATATCTTTAAAAAAAATCTAATAAAAAAAATGTATGGATTTACATGTATGGATTTTCGGGTAAAAATAAATATTCTTGACAAATATATACAGTATACTAGAAGACCCGGCGAACTTCGTAGCGTTAAAGCCATAAATCTCCGTGTTTTGAAGTGCGACAGAATGATTGACACATTAGTTAGTTGTCAAATCTAATGTCAAAAAAAAAACGTTTCTATCAACAATTACTAATAAATTAAAAAAACATTATCTAGCGGAAAAAATTGTGAATCTAAACAATTCCCAGATCTCCTTGAACACACACAAAAAATTTTATCAGAATCGGTGCAGTCGTTTGAGAGAAGTTCAGTGACATACACACTCACAGAAGAATTATATATATAAAGATTATCTCAAGTTTCTAGACCAAAGATAGATGTAAGTTCTATTTTAAGATCCCAAAGCGGCTTATCTATGAAAGGCTTTTATAACATTATATTACTACCTGCTTCCCAGTAAGATAGGTGAGAGTACCCTGTTTCCTTCTATTAAATTTCTTACAATAAATTGGATAACATGCAAAAACTACATTTAGTCTGATCTCTTTGTTCCGAGATTAGTATGTATATATGAGTATATATGAAAATTTTAAGAAAATGTACTTTCAAATTTAAATTTAAATTGAAGTACATACTTTAATTGTCCTGAAATTACTCTTTTTTGTACTTCTAGTAAAACAATTTTTTACAGAAAGCCTTGTATTTTTCCAATATACTAAAATACATATTGAAACCTGTTTTAACTTTTTTTCTCAACAATTAAATTATTGTTTTCAATAAAGTCAAAACTATAGTTTATCCAAGACAAAATTTATTGTTACACCATTCATGATTAAAAAGAACACGTGAAATTCTAGTTCAATTTATGTAGTCCAATAAATAATAAGTTTGATAATCAAAGTAGTAAAACGATTTTCAACACTTTATTTACTGTAAAATACCACAAATTATTTATAGCTGAAACTATTTTTATGTGACGCTCGGGAGTATTTTTAAACAGATGAATAGATTGTTTAAAAATAAAAACATAAACTGCATAAGTAATTTATTTCTTATTTTCGTTAAGTAAATTATGTTTTGAATGAATATGAAATAAAGTGGTATTTTTGAGTTTAAGTATAAGCTTGCGGATCATCTACTGATCGTGAAGGTTACTACCGTCAAAGGCACGAAAGTGTAGTTCAAAGTGTGTATTGCCATTGGGACTGTAATATTGATAATACTGTCATTTGGATATGGGTAGGAATTATGAAACACGACTTGGAGTGGAAGGCACTCAAGCAAGAAATTCCGTTATTTCATTATACATCGATCTAATATGTTCGTAAAACTGTATTTAAAGAACCAAGTTGATAAACTCAACCGCTTACCAAAAAAGAAAAAACGTTAACTGTGAACATATTTCCCTTTTGCTATTTCTATTAATATATAATAACTGTATAAACTCTACTTATATAATTTTCGGCTACACTTTTTGCTACTTGACACTACTTCAGATTAGCAATAGGAATATTAAACTACGCAAAAACATATAAAACTACATAAATAATATTAAGGTACATACTTTGATGTAGGTAAAGCAATGAGATAGAGTTTTATTTTTTCTCATACATCTAATAATTAGCCAAGGTTATACCTAAGGACCAAATAATAATGGTTACTAGCTACGAAGCCAGTAAACTTTGCTAATGAGATCTTCGATAAACATTCGCTATATATTTATTAAAGTATCTTAATGGATGACTCCTTAGCAAAAATCGTGAATATCAAAATTAGCAGTAACTTGTACAATCTTATTTTATTTGGCATCATTTATGAAGACTCGAGGAAGAAGAAAAAAAGCTTTTAAAAATTCATAAGCACAGTAAAAATAGTCACGAATAATTGAAAAAAAAATGTTTGCACTAAAACGAGCATTACATATATTGTTGAGGAAAAATGTCTTATTAACTTTAAATGTTTCAAACAATTTTATATGAAAATTGACGATAAGATTTTCTATGAAAGCTATGTTGTTTTATTTAATATGAGAGTTCTATAACAAGTGAAATTTTAATGAACACATTTTTTTTTTATTTCATGATTTTTTTTTCATAATTATCATAAAGTGGTATAATAATGTAATCATAACTTAATTATTTATGTTTTTAGATCCAAACAATTTTAATGTTATTTCAATCACATTATTCCCGGGTGCGTAAAGCACTTGTATGATCAGTATTGGATTACAAAAACACCTCATAATATTTACAAACACTTTAGGAAATTGCTAGATATACCTACAGGTACCTAAGCACAAGAGAAATTTTATATTAATAAAAGTAAATTAAGAACTTAAGTTCTGTAGTTGTCTAGATCATTATTATATATTTTTTTATTAAAAATATCTTTCTCTATACCGATTTCATTACCGTCATCAAAATCAAAACGGTTACTAAAACTGGCTCCAGTAACTATACTGTAATTGTCATTCGAATAAGGATTTTACAAGTTTCAATGCTTTATATTATTGGCAAAATAGTCGTCAACACAAAAGCCTCACCTCAAAAGCAGAGAGCTTTGGTTCGAACATTAAATGTTACAATATCCATAAAGATTTACTCTTAAACGCCTAACAACTTGTGATTTAACTTTATATTTGGTCAAATATGTCTTCATGTCTTAAAGATTTTCGATACCATAATACCACCTGTCTTAAGCGCCTTAATTTTTACGATATGCAACTTGATGAAAAAGATTTTTTATGTATGGTTTATAACAAGACATTATTTTCTAACTATTAGATAATTTTATGTTAAAATTATTTAAGTTAATGACTACACACAAATACTACGTAATCCTATACCAAGTGATATCATTTTTAACCATTTTAAGTGATATATAATGAATCGCGTCTCTTGTTAACAGTATTCATTCATTAACAACGTTTGTTTATAGTGTTTTAATTGTTGAGGGTCTATTTTAAAAACATTTCCCCCTATTTCCACAGATTGTTATTAATTCTTGATACTAAAGTAGCTGTTTTGATCTTATGTCAAATTAATCTTTACTCAAAACGTCAAGTCTTTGGTTTTGCTATTATTAAATTGGTTTTATTATTTCTTAGCTTTGTATCATAGGTATGCTAATAATTATTATTGGAGACGTCAGATTGTAAGAAGTCATTACTGTTTTTTTTTTATTTATGCTGCTTACTATTCTATAATTTTCTATAACTCCAGAACTAATAATGAATTAAAAATATGGAGACGTACGTATATTTTATACATTTCCTAATAAAAACATCTACATTAGCAACATTATGTTGAATTGACCTTTTTTTGTTGTTATGGTAATTTAATGTTAACGAGAAATACCCCATACACTTTCTTATATATTTGAAAAATAATAACACTTATTCTTATTCACGCGATGTAATTATGTCTATTGTAAAGGAGTAATTTGTTCTAAGACAGAATCAAGATATCTCGAAAGCTTCAAGGACTGTGTAGACCTTCGTAGAAATACTCTTGATTTTCTAAGAAAAGCATTCTTGGCAAACAATTACATAGCAAATTGGTAGCAGGGAAGTTTTTTATTATATCTTACTCAAAATGGCTTGCTTCTTGTTAGATTTTGTTCGAGAAAGATTATTTGAAAACACATACGTAAATGGCAAATGTAAATCATTACTTATATTATATAAACAAACGAATATTAGTTAATGGAATAAATTATAAATATTTTATATGATTCTTTTAGCATATAAAATGTATCTCAATTAAATTTATAAATATAAATAATAAAATACTTATTCTGTTTTGAAAGCGCCTTACAATTTTTAAAGAGCAATATAATTTTTAATTATAAAGTTAAATTGCTCTTTTATTCTGTGTGTTATACGAATACAACTACAAAACATATTAACATCTTATTTATGTCTATTTCTTCCATTGGATCTACATATAAAGACAGTTTTGATGATGCAGCATTTTATCAGAGAGTAATACATAGTGAAATGTTTGCTATAATTGATAATTCAACGCACATAAAAACTATGAATGGAAATCATCCTCATACTTAGGGATATCAAAATTGCTTTGTAACATTCATTTCGCTAGACCTCAATTTAGCGAAGAATCCCATCATATTATTTTATCATCAACCTAATATTATATTGGAAATATTGTTCTATCCTTCTCATACGAAAATTCAAGGCCACAAGATTGTTAATATTATTATGATACAATGTTAAAGAACTCTTGTTTATTGGAGATTTATCTTTTTAAAAAAGAAGGTTATGGACATATCCATGCTGCATACAGCATACACATTTGGTACATCTGTCTCCTTATATTTAGAATAAAATCGGAACTATTAATTACATTCTCCTGGAAGTCATTCGAGAAACCAGCTTGAAAATAAATTTTGCTTTGAAAAGCCCTATACACAAAATTATGCTTAATATGATGAATTGAAAAAAATTATAACATTTTTATTTAGTATTTAATGAGTATATTACCAATTTGTATTACAAAAGCAATTTTCAATTGTAGTTTCAATTAAGGTCGGTATATTGTATTAAAAGGACTCTTATATCTTAATAAATTCTACACATAATTTATTAATGGGTAGTTTAAAACGAAAGCAATATCTGCACAGATACTTATCTACTATACTGCAGGTGATCTTTAGATGTTACTTAACTTGTATTTCAGCATGTCATTTGAAATTATTAACGATTATACAACGTTAAATAGTTTAGTGTGAGAATTAACAAACATATCAATTCACTTATACAGCATGTAATGCATATAATGCATGCTATTACGATGAAATTCATTCGTGCATAATAACCACCAGCAAAACATTATTTTAGATGTTAATGAATGTTTTATTTTTGACAATTTTCATATAAAATATTATCATATAAAATATATCAGCATAAATTTATAAAAAACAGAACATAAATGTTACTAGATAGATAAAACTTCATGCCCTAAGAATAATTTAAGCATCTGGTTAAATAGAATAAACAAGCTTTTATATGTTTAAAATAATTTACCATAATGAGATGTTAGACTTTCGCGAGTTTTGCATTTAAATGAAACTACTATCATTCAGATTACTAATGGGCCGCCTATTATACATTTTTCTTTCTTTGTTTGACTCCTATTATTTTTGTCTATATTGGTGTGCAATAAAGAATACATAAATAAATAAGGGGATTTTATTTTTTATTTTATAAACTACATAATCCCGACGCGACAATTCGGTTACTTTACAGCAACCGTGATCACACCTCGTCTGCCCGTGAACACGGTTGCTGAAAAGTAACCGAAACGTCGAGATTATGTATTTTTTACAATAATAAAATAAAATACGCCTAGTAATCCGAATAATATTAGTTTCTTATATACATTTAATAGTAATAATTTATAGAATGTGTCGCTGGGATATGCTCATGCGCGCACTCACCACGCCTGCCAACGCCAGTTGTGGTAGCCAAGACTGTGTCCATTAACGGTGACCTCTACGTTAATATAACATGGACACTGCCACCGCCGTCTGAACCACTACGGCTACCACCCAGATTAAAGAAGCAGTCATACTTGGTCAGGTAAGTTCAATACTATGAAATAACTCTCTAAGGAGTAAAAGGTTAATGATATTTTTCTGTTTCATTTTAATATAACATACTCGATTATACCTTTAATGGGAGTAAATGTTTCTTTAAAAATATTCTTATCACGATGCCTTTGAGTCTTAACAAGCAATTACTTCGTACGATTACTTTGTTGTGATTAATCCTGAACTACCTCATCTTTTTCAATGAAACTTTTTATGTTGCGTTTATTTACCAACCTCGTTTTTGTTATTTGAGAAATAATGTTTCAAATGTTATGGTAAAAATGTCGAACAATAATGCAAGTACGATGAAATTTTACCATTTCACGGATTTCATGCTAAAAAACCCTTATCAAAAGGTGACATCCTCAAACGAAGATTTATTACCAAGATATATAGGGGACAGAATCCTATGGAACATTAATGTATGTAATGTGTACCTACCCATAAATTGGGATTTGCATTTTATTATTTAATTCTTTTTATATCCCGCAGTGCAATTAATGACAGTACTTTGCTGTGAGATATAACTTTATAGGAAAAAATAGAAGTACTTTCGTGTTACGCCTTATTAAACAGTGACAAAGATCAAAGAATTTTTAACCATTTACGTCTATGAAATTTTCTTTCACAGTATAGGCAAGCAAATGGTTTCCGACGCTCACCCCGCACCATGGTTTGCCAGAACAATTACCCGTAGAGTTGAAGCAATAGGTTTCGTTGTAGTACCGGATATTGAAAGATGGCAGCTCATACCGATAACAGAGCGGAGCGGGAAGCAGAGCGGCAAGAATCATATGCTGCAAAGTATTCTACTTGATGTGAAGCTACTTGCTCGCGTAAATTTAATTGATGAGCGAGGGTGCATCGGCCCAGCGGGAAACGCTACAGCTTATGGTCTGTGAACACAATAATTTAAGTTTTTAACCTATTTTTTTGACAAACAATATATACATACTTTAAAACGAACGAAAACATCTAAACAATAATAAAGTGGGTGGGTATAAATTAATTATTATTCTATTTACAACATTTTTTACGAGACGAGACTCAAAATATGTCTTTCAGTTCAGTCGACGTAAATATTATTTTAGTGTACGTTTGACAACAGGCAACGAGAGAAAACAAATATGAAAAAAGCAAAGAAAATTTGTTATTTCAATTTTCAAATCGTCGTCTTTAAAAAAATCAATTTGAACTCGCACCATAAACAGAACGTTCTATATATCAATTAAAAGTTTATCACATAAGATGACATAAATTTTATTTTTTTACACAGATCCAGCAGACGTCGAAACTTCGTCTTTTGCTACCTACGTATGTATATTTCGTTTATAAGTTTATTTTATTTAACCATCTAATATCAATAGTAATATATACTTTAATATTTCTTCATTACTCAGGCCTTATGGGCAGCATTTGGTGGAGCGTGTATGCTAGCTATGGTGGCTGTGCTAGCGTTTAGTGCGCGAGCGGTGAAACGAATCTTGAATGAATTCCGCCCCGCTTCCGCTCCCTCTGTGTTGCAGCCGCTCGGTCACCGCCCCATATGGTTCCCGCTTAGCGCGTGAGTACTTATCATAAGGCGATTTTTATTAATTTCTATTTGATTTTATATGATATTCATGACTTTTAAATTATTGTAAGAAGTACAGGAAACAAAAGTTTTATTTTAGCCGCGAGAACAAAAAAACTGTATTTACATTAAATGCTTTTGCTGAATAAAATAATAAGGAATAAAGTTTTAGAAAAAAAGTACCTTAAAAAAATATATGTAAAGAGTAGGTACTGAAAATTTGCTATTTACAATATCTCAGGCGCTCTAATGGAGCACATTTTATGAATTATTAAACAGCTACAAATTGAATGCCGTTTTCCCTCATAGTTAATAAAGGGACCCATTTTGTTACCTTATATACTGACAAACTAACAAAACACGGATCAAAGTGGATAAGCATTAGCCGTTAACACTTTAGGTGGTCTATTAATATGACCCGTAGTAACTCTACGTCCTTCAAGTTTCGGCCCTTTAGCGAATGAAGCTAATTGGTTATAATTGTTTTCATTTGACTTTTACTATCTGTTTTATATTTGTATATCTTTTCTTATCTTTCTGTTTATAACCTTACACTTTTTATTATTTATATTTAAAAAAAGGAGTGCTCGTTTGTAATGTTATAATAATAGGTTTTTACTTTAAAAATACATACAAGGGACTTATGATTGCTGCAATTTTTGTCTATGTGCCTGTTTGTTCAGGCATTCACTGACAGATTAATGAGATTATAATTAATAGCTTGGCATATTTATCAAAGAAATAAAAAATCTCTTCCTCAATGACGAAATCACGGGAAGTGTTAATTAATACGTAATAAATTTACTTCATGTGGCCATAGAATATATTATGTAAGCTCTAAGTTAAGAATGGAAGCTAAAACAATTGTTTTAAGTTCATCTCCCAGACAGTTTGAATCGAGCTCATTTGGATACTTTCACGATTTTTTCTCACAGATATTTTTTCGTAAACCCCTGATGTAATTTCGTTACCAATAACAGATTAAGATTGTAGTTATTTTACTTTCTCAGATATCGTTCATATATATTTTTTGAATACAAAGTATCCTAAGTAAAATTATGGAGTAAAACAAACAAAATAGTTTATTGTGGAAACATTTAACTAGTCTTAAAATAATTATACATTCTTATATATATTATATTTTAACGTGATAATCATAAATATATTTGGAGAGAGGACATATTATTGTTGTTTATTTTCTATTTATTAGTAGTTTATAATCTTATTTAAAGTGTTGTCCCTTGATTCAAAATTGCTTTAATTTGCAATTTTGCAATATTGCTTTAAATTATTCAATATTTAGACTATAAGTCAGGTTATCAATGGGTATGGCTCTTTTTCTATAAGAAAATTCTTTACTGCGTGTTATATGTATGGGTTGTTTTACACACTCTTATTTTGAACGTACAAAGCCTTCAAGACTTTTCAATTTCAGAGAGGAGTTGGTATTCTTATAAATCATAATTCAGTCAATTAAGATAGAATTAGATAACGGCGAGCCTTCAGCTCTGATAAAGTCCGAAATGTTTTAAACAATAACCTCGTGGATAGATCTTTATGACCATACGACAAGTCTTACTGAAATGATCATACTTAGTTGTTGAACAAGGAGCTCTTAAAGGGGTTACTTTCCTCCTTAAAAATGATATCTTGATAGCTATAAAATTCATAGAGTACTTTATGCTTATTCTTTGACTCCAGTGCTATTAAAGCCTCTTACTATGATAAAATACAAAATTGAACATTTAAGACCTTTTGGTTAAAAGCAATGTTTGAGGTATTTTAGTTGTTTGAGTAAATATATGTATTAGGAACATCTCATTGTGCCTTGAATAGATCACTTCATATAATTATTAGGTTTAATTAATTAAGTAATTACTATCGACCATGGACGCTTCTAACTTATTATCGTGATCTGTTACTAACTAACAATTATTGTAGTAAATCTTTTTGTTCTATACCTTAACATTCTAAAATTTATTTCCACCTTTTATTGTTGAAATAATTACAGGGATACTTTTAATAATGTACAATGACTTATTAGGTATATACGAAGTGTTTGTTAGACAGAACTGTATAAATTAAAAAATATTTGTTAATGTAAATATAATAATGAAGGTTGTAATTTTTCAATGTAACTTTATCGTATGTTGTGGGTCAATGGCCACTCAGAAAGTGTCAAAATTATGATGGAACATCCGAAGAGGTCGGTGAGAGGCGTTTAGTCCTCGTGTTAAAAGAAACTAATCGATTTAGGATTTATAATACACGGTAACGATTTTATAATGGTCAGTTCTATAATTGTGTATGCAACTGCCTTTCATATGTTAGTATGGAAAGGACAAAAGGAGCGACTAAATGTGGTTTAGCTTGCATTTAGACGAGACTAGAATTGTCGTCTATACAGATGATGAAATAAATCATTTACTTTGAATATTTATTGAAAATATATTGTAATATAATGTACGAGTGTAGTGGATTCAATGAGGTACTTCATTGTCTTTTGTATTATAACCATAATAAATTTTAAAAAGAAAAATGTTTTATATACATTAATCTTTGAATACGTCTCGGAAATTTTATAATTACATCATCCCAGTTACTGTGATATGATTATTTAATTACAATATAAATGCAATCCTTATTTAAAACTCGGACTGATTTCTTTAATTAACTGTTTCGTCACTCTCATGTTAGTTTGCCAAATAATAATTATTATTAATGAATGTAGGTAGGCATTCTAAGTATTTTTTTTATGTTTTAATTTTGAACTGATAAAATTTATGGTATTGGAATGATATTAATATTCTTTAAATGAAAGGAAACACAAATTTCGATAAAGCGATCTTGCTGTTAGAGAATTAATTTGGTAAGTGTTAAGGGCTCAGTTCACTAATTATATTATACATATATATGTACTATATTGACGATGATTGTCCAAAGTAGATTTTTTTATCAAAAACTACCCAAACTTTATTATGTACTTAAAATAATACTTTTATTACTCATAAAATTTTTATAGGGATTTTTTCAAGCCTCAAAAAAAGAGGGGTGTTATAATTTTGTCGTCGAAATCTGCATGTGTATGCCTGTACTATCGTAGCTCTTAAACGGATAACCCGATATTGACGCAGTTTTATTATGTAATAGCCAGAATATATACGTTGGTTCTTAACCACGTTTTGGTTAACCACGAACAGGAACCACGGGTGCTACTTTCATTTTCATCTTGTTTGTAGTCCTATGTTAACAAAAATATATTTTAACGTTTTATACATGACAAAAATATATTACAATACTTAATAATCTTTCCATTCCTCTATAAAACTTGTCTGAGAGTGAGGAAACTTAAAAAGGTATCAATACCGTAATATGATCGATGATTTTATGATCAAGCAACATATGATCAGTTCTGATGTAACCAGTCACAACTTCATTCGAACAACTATTTCTTATTACGAAAGTAATGAGATCTTCGACTAAAGAAACGTCCACGCAATTTAAACTGTTTGGTTATTTATGACGTTAACTGATAAATATTTCAATATTTTTTTGTCTAGATTTAGTCTGCAATATATTTTTTTCGTGCAAAATATATGAGTTCTAAAATGGTTTTCTTTTTAAGTGTTATAAAGTCAGGTTTCCGTTTTATAGTAAATGTTACAGACATTTTAGAATTGTGAATTAGATTGGTAAAATAAGTGTCCTTTATAGCAAGTTAGTCTCAATGTCACTTTCGAGCAATTACTGAGAATGGCAATCTTAATTCGTATACTTAAGATAAATGTTCCTGTAGGAAAATTAAAATTACTCGGCACTACTTTGATACTAATTTATTATGAAACCAATTACAGTTTAAAAGCATCACATTAAAAATTAACTTTAAATATATAGTTAGCAGGAGTAGTGAAAAGTAAAGTTTTTAACAAAATTCATAGAATATTTACTAATAATTTAAAAGCATACGATTATTATTAAATTATCGTTGTGGAATATGAAAGATTTACTAAATTCAAATACAAATTTTATTAAAATAATATGAGTATATTAAGAATAATACATTTGAAAATATTTCAACACACAATTCGATTCAATGACTGAGATTGTCATTATGAAAACGAAATATGTATTGACATTCACCTTGAATATAAATATATTGCCAAATAATGAACGGTTTTTTAAGTTTTTATGTCTTGTAATCAAAATTAATACACTATTTTCATTTAAAATAAACTATCCGCTTGTATTTAAATGGAAATCATTATTGTACTTTGTTATGTAAAGCATAATATATGTTCTCGTATGTATATGTATTTTTATTTGTTATGTTATTAAATCTTTTTATCAGTACATTTAATTCTTGTTCAGTGATAGATCATCGACACCTGACGATTTCTTTTCTTCCGACCATTGGGTGAAAGAAAAATCAAGCACTATCCGGTTTGATTTAATCAAAAAGTAGTACCAATAAAAAGAAATGTTATTGCTAAATGTTTGGTTTGTAAATGTGTAGGTATGTGCGTTTTTATGTTCGCGATACACTCTAAAGTCTAAGCTGTTGTTAGATCCCTTGACCGGATAAAAAGAAGTTTGTCATCCAGTAAATGAATTTTGACTCCGAAAAGTAATCATTTCTTCATCGTATATTCCCTGCATATAGCCTCCTAAATATAACCAACTTTATAAATTAGATTCGAAATCATCGTCGTCATCATCATCATCCTATCAGATGCCATTGGTGAGCAAAGTCTTTTTTCACATGCAGAAGTTTTAGGCATTAATCACCACGCTTTCTCAAGACGGCTTGGTGATTTCAAACTTATTATTTGAAATTATAAGTCCAGGTTTCCTCACGATGTTTTCCTTCAACGTCTGTCAGTGGTGTCTAAATACTCTTAGTAAGTGCATATGACTCGGAAAAATTACATTGATACTTGCCAGGTTTCGAACCCGTCATGCACGAGAGGCGAGCCTTTAACCTTTAGGCCACCACGA